GATTTTCTCGTGTTTGCAGTTCACAAGTTTTTGTTAGGCGTCTGATAATTATCGAGGTTAGTATTTTAGATACTATATTAGTTGAACTAATCCATCTGTGGTTGTCACAGGATGATTTTAACCCTCTCTTATATATTGGGACGATAAGTGATTGCGACCAGTTAGATGGGATAACGTCTAACTCCCAGATCTTAGCTAAAATATTGGTCAACCTAGTCGCTAAAATCAGACCGAAGTCCCTAAAGACCACTGGAGCAAATCCATCTGGGCCAGCTGCACCTCCTAGTTTCAGATTATCCATAACATTTTGAACTATATCTGGAGTTGGTGAACTTAATTAAATGTTTCATTCAGGTTGTTTGGGAATGGAGGGTAGCTGTAGATTAGCGGAGAGCCAGCTGAACTACTCCTTAAAGTGTTCCACCTATCGTTCTAAACGTCTGGGATGAGAGCAGAAAAGAGTATCATCTTTTACCGAGACAGACTTGTAGTGGCATTGAGCCATAACCAAACAATCCTCAAAGCTCAACACAAGACAATTGGGGAAATAGATATTCAATATTTATTTCGGAGAAATACCTAAAGATGAGGAAGGCGGGAAGAGTGAATCGAATTAATTCGAGTGGACTGATGGCATGGCTCGGACTTGCAGGCGTGGTCCCTGCTGAATGTTATCTTATATCTTTTATTCATATTATATATATTGTTGTACCTCTAGCCTAATAGTGTTCTCAATCATGTATTGGTAATTGTTACGATGTAGTGAGTTGGTATAGACGATGATGTAACTTCGACGTAAGATCTTATAGATTAGGCAGTTATATCATGACAAATCTACAATTATAGGATTAGGTCTGTTATTAGAGCAGTACTAATATCACTGGAGACCATAACTCCACTGGCTCACTTACACTTGACTTATTAACTCCAGTTTCTTTTATTAGTCTTGTGTTGCACAGAGCCGATGCTTTTTTCAATCTTTTGCTTTCATTCTTCACCACAGCTCACAGTCGTTCCTTAGATTTTGGTTCATCTAGTTCTGATTTGTTTTCGCTATTCGTGTTCAGAGCCTGATGGGACGCGTTTATGAGAATCTATCAGTGCAATAAACTTAGCGGAAACCCATTGATTTTTCGTAACCCTTTTGCTTACATCACCAACAAATGTCACTACTGTTCGTATATCTATCCAAGCAATGTCTGAACCAGCTTCGTTTTCGTTCTAAATTATTATTGCACAAATCCTTATACTAATGTGAAGTTTAACTCTGGATCCTGTTACATAAATTTACATGTATTCACCCGAGTGCACTAAAGATTAACAAAATTAATGTTTTGCTTCAGAGATCGATATTCATTACACTCTTTTTATCATGGTTGAACCGTCTCACTGGGTGTTCGTTTCTCCTCTCTTTTTTCCTTCGAAATAAATGCTATTCTTAAGATTCCGAAGTTTGCAGTTAGGACACTAACTTTTGTCACACTTAAATTAACTTCTCAGACTCGCTTTATCTTCACTATGTATATATGACCCATGCACATTGATATTTGGTTATCCTTTGCACTTCGTTGAAACTTGTATAGCCTGACTCCGAATTATGACTGCACAAACACTTATTCTGACGCCATATCTTACTGTACTAACAAGTTAGTTTTCCTATTTATTTTGTTTTATTTTACTTTTGTTACTTATTTAGCGATACATACATGGTCGTTTATTCTTGTTCTGTGTTCACCAACACGCTTATTAAACTATTTACGTAGTTCGCAATTTCTTCATCTGCATTCATTTATTTTCTCCTTTTCCTTCTTTACAGTCAACTCAATATTCTAAATTATACAAAACCTGGCTTATTATTATTCTGTTATCATTATTATGTTTTTTTCTCTTTTTCAAATAGGGCAAATATGATGCTGACATTAATGAAACCTGTGTATTACCACATTTTTGAAGAAACCCTAGGTGGTTTCTCCAGAACACCTATGTACTTATAAGATGTTTGTGAATAATAATAATAAGAAGAAGAAGAACTGTAGAATCATTGTCTCCTATGATATTAATAGGCCTAATCCTATAATTGTAGATTTGTCATGATATAACTGCCTAATCTATAAGATCTTACGTCGAAGTTACATCATCGTCTATACCAACTCACTACATCGTAACAATTACCAATACATGATTGAGAACACTATTAGGCTGGAGGTACAACAATATATATAATATGAATAAAAGATATAAGATAACATTCAGCAGGGACCACGCCTGCAAGTCCGAGCCATGCCATCAGTCCACTCGAATTAATTCGATTCATTCTTCCCGCCTTCCCTTTTGTGGGTAATTTTTGTGTTAGCTTCATACTTGTGGAGATTTAACTGCTGACATGAAAATCCGTGGGATAAGGGGAGATGTACGTGTTTAGGGACGACTTTTACAAACCCCATCATTCTTTTGTGGGAGGGAAGCATCGCTGTTATGTTGGTTGTTTGAAGTAAACGCCTTACAGGCATCATACCACTGTGCAGTCAGCAGTACTATTTCGCCTTCGGACCTTGGGTTTCTTGCTTTTTGTCTTACCGCTCTTCAATCGATCTGCTTCATATGGTCGGACGTTGAGTAACGAGTGTTCTAGCTCTATCGCTCGATCAGTTCATCACGGAAAGTAAGCTTGACTTCCACGTCAAGGTAGCAGCGACGGTCGGGCATAACATAAGATGCAAAACAAACATTTGCTTTAATCTAAGTTTTGACCTTCGAATAGCACGGAGCCCTCTACTTTGACTCTTCTACTCCATGTCTATGTTTCCAAACTATTTCTCCAGTCAGTATGTAGCTAGTTTATTTTCTATTATTTTCAAGAAAACCTTACAAGTTCGTGACTCTTGCTGTCTAATCAGACGTAGGATAAGGACACGACCTGACACGACTGCCGATACAATTTTCAAACGTTTTATCGACTAGTATTACCTGGTTTACACTGGAGCGGATATGCATAAGTCAGTTATTGCCAATTCAGACATTCCTAAGGCACTCACATTGGACGATAATCACAACAGTCATTTCAAACATAAGGATGAGATCAGAATGTTGCAAGTTAACGTGAAAACTCCAAGTCTGCTTATGTTTCTTATAAATGTTGACCTCACCAAAATTCAGGTTCAGATAAATGTCACGATTAGTTTCCGGGACTCTTTTGTCTCATAAGTGATTGAAAGAATAAAACGATCCAGAAATGCAATTACATGCAATATGTCGGACATCCATGTTTTAAGTTCTATGATGTCTAAGCCTGCAATAAGACACGTATTATTTGTGTGCACAAGACTAAATTGACATTTTGATAAGCATTTACGGATATTGTCCAAATTCATCAAGTCTGTAGAAGCAAGTGAATTTCTGAATTTCTAGAATGCAATGAGACGAAAACCGATTTTCACGAATGCTCAAAGTCTACGAAAAGCCAGAATAACTGGCTACAGATCATTAGCGCCAAGGTGCCACATCAGTCCGAATAATGAGAATCATAAAACTAAGGCTGATACGAGAAGAATCTCTGAGTACACAGATATGTCACCACTGATATGTTCCCCCAAATCTCTTGAAATTTTAACACAGAAGAAGCCACTATGTCAACGATGCTCTCTCTCCCCAAAAGTGTCGATTTAGATCAGACCATAAGGTTTTCCTGACAAGTACTCAGATAATACCTCTGAAATTTCCGTTAGTGTAACACCCAATGCCAGTAACAGGGAAACGACTAGTGCCAGAACGATGCCAGAAGTACTAAAAACAATCATATACCAGACATAGGTATGTTTGAACCTTGAAAACAGCCAGAATCATGCCTAATAACATTGAATTATCCACAAATTGCAAAGTAATCACGAAGAACGACAAACCTTGTAAACATAGTTTTGGAACAATCTACACACACGTCAAATACAAAAATACCTCGAATTGCAGACTATTATTTAATAGGGCCCATCGAACCAATAGCCTTCTTAGTCTGGAGCCCATGATGTTGAAGATGGCACAGGTATTCAGTGTTTGACAACGCTTTTACCAGCAACACCTAATATAATTCGTACCCACCAAGATATATCAAAAGACGGAGCAGAGGAGATCGGAAGAGTGTATTTGGCGATAACCAGTATATCGGAATTCTCTGATCTAATCTGGCTAGCGATTGCGGTAGATGTTGAGCACAGCGTTACCACACGTGATCTGGTGCGGATGCATGACCGAGCGCCTTCAGCTAGTTGAGTCCACTAAAACGTATGGTCAGCATCCAATGTTGAAAACTTACAGAGCTATTTATTTTGGGGATTTATTTACCGCTACAATTTCTACAACGCCTGTATGAGATGTTAGATACAACAAAAATCGGGAGAGATGTTTCACAATTTTGCCAGCTTCCCCGCCTATGGCGTTAAGTGTGTTACAAGTGATGACAAAATTACTGAATTCATACCGCCTTAAAACTAAATTCATAACTTAACCAATCTTACAAGTATTCACCGATTTGCTACTTATGACCTGCTTTTTCATGACACCTCTCGTTTTCTAACTTTTTCATTTAGTGCCCGCTCTTACTTCAACAAGATTACTTATCTTGAAACTCTTTAACGTCTTGTAAATCCAAGCATTTTTCTCACCATGGAGTCGTGGTGCAGACCATATGTTACTAATAACTCCTTGAACGTTGATAAGTACATCTTTTTCATCCTATAGATACCCTGGAATGAATGGCGTTACAGTTGTTTATGTTCGCCGTTTATAGCGCTAATAAGAACCAGAATACTTTTAAAATTCTTAAGAGAAGACTGTGAAAATAAAAGCTCATAAGCCACAAACACCACGACTTGTATGCGCTTCAGAACCAAAATAACTTGATTGACAGAAATAATTAGTTCCAACGCAAGTATCTTCTGACTATTGGGACTAAAGCTTTGGGTAAAAAAAAGCTCGGACTTATCAATACTTTACATCTTCAAATCCCGGTCAATATCTAAATCATTTAGTACAACTTGATTCATAACTAACAGAAATATTATATCCGACCTTGACGCTATTTGTGAACAGTTTCGTGTGAGTGCTTTTGTTATTGCAGGGTAACGAAGGGTAAATGTGCTGGAAGAAGAAACTAAACTCTCAAGATGGTGTATGGGAGTATTTTATAAATAAACTTTCCCTTTTCGTACCGGACTACGTGGCTCGATTTTCGAAATATATATGCGTTGTTAACAACGCAAATGCTAGCACGTCGTGTTCTTCCTCCTCACACATTCACTGATCCTGACTTGTGTGCCGTTGTTTTAGATCTTTTCTGCTTCCAAATAAACGTAGGTGACACGTGCTACAATGGTAGCTGTTTAGCCGTGATTTCTTTTCAAATTAAGGCAGTTACTTTGTGTTGGGCAATTCATTCACAGTGATATTTATTGATAATAACAATTTGTAACTAGGAACTACTTCAGAAACAGCGCTACACACAATAATTCCGGTATATTAAGTAGCATACTGTTCTGCCGACTTCACTAGACGTTTCTATCCTGAGGGTTTTGGAATATCCATCGGTCTTGTAACTGTTTATCAAGGAGGCAAATCATTATTCTGAATAACTTTTCTCGTGCACAGTTAGCTGTGAAATATCTGAATGAGTGACATACAATAGCCTAAGTGTACTACGCGTTGGTAGCGATCTATTCCACTTTGTGGAAGTGCGACGTCATTTAAAAGTTGGACATAAGTCTGTTCGAAGAATGGTTCATTAATAGTTCCGAGGTTAGACGTAATGTATCCAGAGTTTGTATTATTCAATTCCAAACATCAACAAATTCCATGGGTCACCATTCATTTGTTATCCAGATTGTAGGTAAAAGTTTACTTGGGACCACACTGGTTAGTTTGGGTATCAGTCACATTTCAGCAGTTACAACTAACTACTGTACCACGTACTTCAACGACAAATTCTGTCCAGTATCGCAGGTATCCTGAATCTACATTATGCAAGAACAACTTATGAAGATATGGAACAGATGCCAGATTTAAATGCTGCTATAAATTAGGAAACATTAAATCAAATAGCGCTAAATTTGTGACGCTAGTGAGTTCCGCATTACCATATATGTGCTTATAGAGGTATCCTAAAACCCAAGAAGACTATAATCTCACTGAATTCCATAGATATCAAACAGGTTCTGATTTTCCCTCATCAAATGACTGACAATAATCACCCTGACCATTCAGAAAGTATACGAGGAACACGTAAGTAGTTGATAATTAATATTTTTCAGTTTGTATATATATATATATATATATATATATATATATATATATATATATATATATATATATCGGTAACGTTGTACTAGCTGTGTGATGTATCAATGTGTGTCAGGTTGCTGTACTTCCTATTTGTTCAATTCAAAATAACTAAAAGAGTTTGTGCATAGCGTCTGTTGGTTTTTATTCATGTCCCTGGATCATTGAATCACAGCTACATATGTACATATATGTTGACTATATTCATCATAAATTGTTGGTATTATCAAAGTGCCATAGGGTCATTGTTCAGTTGAATACATTGAACCACATGGGGTGTTGTGTTTTAAGATATTTATTTACTCAATAATTTTGTGTACGACATGCTAGTTCTAAATCTCAGTTTAGATTATGCAAACGATAGTCTGTTTAGTCCAAAACATTGAGATGAAGAATTCCCTGAAATCAGAAACCTAAGATTCATTTCACATGTATCAAACGTTAAATAATATTGTATTACGAGTCTACACTGACATCACATGACTTTAGGTTGGGAAATGAAGTGGTTAAGTGTAAACCTGTTTATTTATTTTGCGGTGCGTTTATCCCAATGTGATTCCTGTAGAGATAGAGGACTGTGCCTATCAAGTGGGGTTTCGGGATGTTTATCGGTGCACGAGTGTGATGTGCATCGAACCGATTTGCGCTTCAGCAGTGAGACCATACAGTGTATAATCTGAGCAGTGTCATCAGATATGATGGTGACCCTAAGTTACACGACTAAAATCCCGATACACGAGCAGGTCTATTCATATCTTTTATTGAGTCTCAAACCTTATGTTACTTCCCTTATTTGTGATTTTTTCAATTACATCTTTCTAGTTTGTTTTAGTATCTTCTCACGCATGCAGATGTATGTGTTGTTGCAGCATATATTTACTTGAATCGATGGGCTTTTGTTGTGTTCTGTTCCGTCATGTTTGCTCGTTTGTCTTCGTGCAATTATTAACCCCCAAGTAAATGCAGCTGATTGGTGGACGCTTCATTATCGTATTTTATGTATGGGCTATGTTATTAACCTAAGTAATTAAACCCAAACGGACAGTTTCTTTAATGAACCAAAGATTCGACTAATGTTCCTAGTTTACAAAATGGCTGTACAGCGTAAGGGCTATATTCCCTGATGGGGAGCTATTAGAGGGTGTATATTTACATCTACATTCTTAAGGTCGATTGTCTCTTCTGAACAACAGACCGCCGACCAAAGGTCTCTAAACAACTGTATCTCGGGTTCTCCTTCCCAGTTGTCAAGTGTTATTCATTCTTTTGATATGTGCCTCCGATTCCTGGTGCACCGTGATATTTGCTCTATCCATTCCCTTTTGCTTTGACTATTCCAAGTTAATCCTTCCTTTGTGATGGAGTTTAATGATCCTCAGAGTTTATGCCCTACCTATCTCCAACATCGTTTGGTAATTTCCTCATCAACTGGAAGCTGAATGCTCTCTCATAATCAATGACGTTGATGCTTAGTAATGAGTTCGAGTCAGTTGACTGTTCAACAATAAATTGTACTCATTTGTATCGGTTGTTTGTATATTCTTATTAATGTTGAGGACCGCAATTGATCAGTTTCTTTTGACATATATGCATCCTGTGAGGATTGCTTTGATACTGCTATTAAATGACAGGTATTATAAACAGAGGTCGCAGTGTGAACAACTCTGAAATGCTGGTACATCTAATCGATGAGTCCCAAGTAGGACGAAACGCGCGTCCTGAATTTCACTGCTAGGCACCATCCACCTCTGCTTATAATGATTTGTGTTGTCGATTTGTTTGGCATATGGTCGGTACTCAAGAAAGCCAGCTTGTTGGTCTCTAAGTTGGGCGTCTACTGAACATTCCATTCAGTTTAGCAGTGTTCTATCGAATCGTTTTCCTGGTACTGACAGTAGTGTGATGCTTCTGTAGTCCTCACGCTTGATGATATCTTTCTTTATATCCCACTTTCCGGCCTATTGATACTTGTTCTTGCTCCCAAATCATTCTGAGGAGAACGTGGAATATCTTTGCAGTTACTTTTATCTCTTCAGTGCCTCAGCTGATATGCTGTCTAGTCCTGCTACTTCCCCATTCTTGATTTGTCTGATGGTCTTGCTGATTTCTTTTGTTGTAGGTGGTGTCGTCTGTGAACAGGTCTGTGTGTGCTGATTGGATGTTCGATGAGTTCAACAGTGCTGATTTGTTCCATAGCTCTTCAAAATGTCCTTTTCACTTGTTCCATTGATCTTGAACTTCAGTGATGGATTTTCGTTTCTTGTTCTTGACTGGTCACTCTAGTTTACTACATTCTCCTACCAGTTTCTCGATTGTATCATATAGTTCTTTCATATTTCGTTTCCTTGAAGCTTGTTCTGTTGTCGTTCCCAGGTCTTCTACATATTTCCGTTTGTCAGCTATAGTGCTCTTCAGTTGATTTTTTGGTTCTGTATATTCGACCTGTGCCTGTTTCAGCTTGGTTGTTGACTGATATATTGTTTACATTTTCTTGAGTCCTGATCAAACCGTCCCCAGAAATCCATTCTTTATGGTGACGCTCGTTAGGGCCTGGCACTTCTTGACATGTTCAATTTATTGCTTCTTTAATCTATTCCCAGCTGTTCTTCATGGCGGTTTTCTCTCTCAGTAGGTTTTAAATGACTTAGAACTTGTTGCTGAGACCCATCTTCAACTCTCTGGACTTGTTAGCATCACGAATCAAGGTTGTATTGAACTTTTACGGTGCTTCTTTATCTTCAGTTTCAGCTTGACCACCATTAGGTAGGGATCTCAAACTATATCAGCTCCTCGATTAGTTCTTACGTTTTCCATGGATTCGAATTTCTTTATTAAATAAAATGTGATTGACCTAGTTTTCTATTGTGTAATCTGGTGAAAGCCATATAGCTTTATGTATCGATTTGTAGGGGAAAGCGCTACTGCCTACAACAATGTTGAAAACATATAGACTTGTCAGTCTCTCACTATTCTGGTTTCTTCCTTTTGGTCTATGTCGCCTCGGAAATCGTTTGCATCTAGTACTGTCCATCCCGACCTGAGCGATTAGCCCCCATCATCATTATGGTTAGGTCTTTTCCTAAACTGTAGTCTCTCGTAAAACTGGTCCTTATCATCCGCTCTGTTGTCATTGGTGGGTGCGTCTTAATAGATGACATCCATTGTAACCCTTTCCTTTTTGGTTTAAAGGATCCTTTGGCGATACAGGAGCCATAAGTCTCCCATCCTATAAGTGCTTCTCGTGCTTCTGTGGACAGCATTAGCGCAACTCTCTGTGCGTTTAAGGGGGTGGATTGGGTTTTCTACCTCATGATCAAGATACAGTAACAGCTCTCCTACCCTGGTAGGGACGATAGTGAAAAGAGTCAGCTTCCCCTCTCGAAATGCTTTCACATGGCCATGCATATACAGCCACTACCAGGGAAGTCCTATTTACTGCCTTCCCGCGACGGGGGTATTTTTTACGAAGTTGGGCGAACGAAAAATGAATGTCCGCGCTTTAACAGGACCGGTGGATACAGAGCATCCACCAAGGGAAGTTGGAAAACCCTGATTCCAAACCGATGGCGTACATGCGCTTCAGGATCCTGAGGAGACAAAAAGCCTATGGATTTATTGTTGGTCACCGGCTATCATGAGACTGCATCTCCTAATGTTGCTCCACTGCCTTATGGATTAGACTCTTAGGTCAAAGGCTCGAGGAGTGGCCTCCTAAGGAAACCATACGACTCGGTTTGGGCACTCGGGAACTATCCCAGCCCTCATACAAATCAGATGTTTAAGTCTGGTGCATACATGTATAGTGTCTCCTTGTATCAATGTTTATGTGTTTAAATAAATAAATAAAACTTGGATTTAGTTTTTTCTTTCTGGCTTATGTCCAATGAGTTTCACCCATATAGAGCGCGGCTAGATCTTATCTTTTTGTTTCTAGCACTTTTCGTATGATCCTTCCAGTCTTCCACATTTCCTGAGATTCTATTTACCTGTATTATTTTCTGTTCTGGTTATCTCAAGGGGCACCAGCCTCACGTCTTCCAAGGAACGTCGATTCTCACCATGCGACATCATAACTCTTCTGTATGAAGAGCCTTCAAATCCAAAAGCCGAGTTTAGTTGGTTTCAAATGGCTTTCTCTGAATTGAAACTTTGTGGCTAAGTTATCTGAAACTAAAGCTGTTTATAATCTCAGTGGGAGTTTTTTTTGTCTTCTGCCTTGAAGTATTCATATACAAAGCCCATAAAAAGGCCTGGAATATGTCTTATCTAACTCTTCCTTATATAACGATTTTATCTCTAGTTGACTGTCCACAATTGTGCTTTCACTGTTTGCACATTTATTTTGATTGTCTTCAGAGTTAAACCATTTAGTTCAGAGAATCCAACATCAACAAAATCACTCAAAGTGAGGGTAATTAATGATAAAAAATTTGTTCTGGAAACATTTAAATAAAATATGGGAATGTTCTACGTTATTAACCTGCACAAATCCTAAGATTCGTTAGATGTCAGACAACAGCAATGGCATAGTGGTTGGAACGCTTGGTTTCTAACCATTAGGGTTTGAGTTTCATTCAGCATGGTTTTGTCTAGACAACTGGATGTTATCAACAGCCTTTGTATCGAAAGTACAATTGGCTCAGAATTATGTACCTGAACCTATATCAAGCTTCAATTTTGTGTTATTGGATACAACTACTTACCTTTCATCGGGATCCTTCGATAGTTATATGCTGATGTTCCATATAATAATCGATGTTACTGTATATTTAACTTCCTACTCCCTGTCTCTCAAACACCAATAAATTCACAGTTGAACCTATCTTCTGCTCAGTATCTTTTTGTTCTCAGACTAATGTTTTTCCGAACAAATTTTTAAATTCGAAATAATGTTCCCACTAAAATGTGATGTGAATTGGCTAAGATGCCTTTTCCAATATTTTTACACAGTATTATTGCATATTGTATATAAATATTGGAGTGAATGATATATTTCGTTGAAAAATCACTTTATAAAGTTTGTATTTATAGTCTTATGTTTGAAAGCTTCTATGAAGTATCAAGGAATTTGTCAAAAGTTTGTTAAATTGGTTACCTTTACAAAGTTAATTGTGATTGTGGTTAAATATATGGATTGATCTAATTGAAGACATTTTAAATGGCATAAATCTAGTCGGATATTTATGTCAACAGTATGAAAAGGTTTGCAGATACGATAACCAAATGTATCACGGTTAAAATAACCTAAATTATTAACGTTATTTGCTCACTAGTGGATAACTTCAACGGGAAATTCCTGGGGTTTTAATGAAAAGCCGTAACCAGTGGAGTTGAATCGCGTTAGGCGCAAGTAAGGTACCCACCGAAGACATTAGAAGATGCTCGTGCAATATCGTGGATTGTTTGAAGTTAGACTTGCACGTCAGTAGACCTCGGCTCAGCGATCTAGAGGTAAGGGGTTGGTGCGCAAGACCAAAGGTCCTGGGTTAAATCCCCGGCTGTGGGGTCGTGGTTATGCACTACTAAAATATCTTGTACTTGAAAGAAACGGTCGTCCATGGCTCTCAAGTTCTCAGTGGTTGTCTAATCTAGGTCGGTTTTTATTCTCAATTACATATCAACGTTATTGTTTTCTTATCCTTTTGATCATTCAACATAGTTCACCTACAACTTAAGTATTCTAATTATTTGTTATATTTCTCTATGTACTATTAATGACGATACTAATTACTCTGGTAACACTAGTGCTCACATTACAGCTACGATCTGTGCTAACGCTGATCGATCCACACAAAATTTCTCTCTTCTTTCCCCAATCTGCGATCCAATCAGAGAGGAAGAGGAGCCAACCGACTTAGCTTATTTTATCGTAGACTTGAGAATTCACATGAATAAATGCATGAAATACAAATCACAATGCCCTATCAATTAGAAATCTCAATTCGCTGGTAACTAGGTCATTTATGGTAGGAAACTGAGTAACAGGTACATAATTAGTCAGTTGTAATTTGTGTATGTTAAAAGACGATATATCTACAGTCATTGACTTTAATGAAAGTGTGCAGTTAGGGAAACATAATATTTCAAATTAGATACTTAGTAAATACCCAGTAAGATATATATGTACTAGTTCATCGGAGAATAGTTTTCGAATTTCCATGTCTCCATTTATCCTTCCATTTCGTAACATTATTCTGTAAAGAAACTAGATAAGGATTAATTATTTTACCGCATACACATTCCATCAGTTACTCTTAGTTGTATTTTGCATGATTATCATGTATCTTTAATACGGAAGTTTATATTCAGTACGCTTCTCATTTGTGTAGTAAGTGGCTATGAAGTTCAGCAGTTCTAATCAACTTCTGCAATACTGTTAGTCCAAAATAAGTTAAGTGTGGCTTATTGTAAAACAGTAAAGACGTACTTCCTTGCTAGGTTGTGCTTTCTTTGCTCTTCAATGTTATGTGTTTATGGTAACTGGTATCCTATTAGCATTTTAAGTAACCTGTTGTCTGATTGGAAATATTGCGAAAATCTCTACCGATTGATGTATTTTCAGCCTGTAATAATGAAGATACCTTCCCAGGCTTTGTTTCACCATTCAGTATATTCTCAGATCGTCCATCAACTTCTGCATTCGCTAATATTGGACAAATTGAACCTACACATCCTCCGATAGAACAAAATCAACGAGTAAGATCTTCAGTATAAGTTCCCTAATATTAGTGGAATTTGATTTGAACCACTTTTCTTAGTATTATATATTCATTAATCACGCTGACCACTGTCATTAATAAATGTCTTAATGATTATTTATTAGGCACAACTTTGTGGCTGTCATTTTGGTTCTGTCGTTTAATAGTGTAGTGTCAGTTATTATGGCAAGCCCATATACCTTATTCTAGCTTCCGGACATCCCATTTTATTCATTCTACTCGAGCCATACTTTGACCTTGTCATTTATTCGCTTATCAATCTAGACTGTTTTTATATGAGCGTATATGTTTGTGCCCATCTTATCCTATTAATCACATGTCTGTAGCTGTATTTTGTCTGACTATAAATATTGAGTAACGCTTGACTAAAATGGAGTTGGCTTCCCAGCCATCTTCCATACGCGTCATTTTTGCTTTGCTATGCTTCATTCACTTCATGTACGAAATATACGTATTCTCAAGTCAATTCTCGTTGTTCGACTTATTTAATTCCGTTATTGGATAACGCGATTTAAGTCGACGATGATATACGAGAAAAAGCGATAGCAAACATACATACGCTCTAAACAGGAGTCAGATCTACGGCACAAAAATAGTAGTAATATCAATACCGTTAATATGATGAGGTTGGTTCATCAGCCAGTCTCTAGATACATATTTTCCCGGCACTATACGACTATTGCGAGTCACACATACATTTCAATTCAAGTAACAATTATAGAATGTTTAATTTTACTTACTTTAAAGTACTTCAGTAAGGTGATTACATCTATGTTAAGGTTGATATAACGATGCACCTTGACATTCCGTTTCATCTCCGTCTCCCAACTTAAAAAGAAAATAGAGTAGACTTGAAAGAACGGTAGTTATTCAAATAATTATGTTTCAATATCTTAGTGATCCTGGTCAGGACCCTATGCTTTATATGGGGTGAGAGGCGTAAGAATGAATCTCTTAATGGATCTCATCACAAGAAAACTTTATGGTCGTGACATTTTAGAAAGATGTAACCCATGGTTCATACAAATTCATGTAAATTTAATACGTCCGATTAGATTACTCAATAAAATAGTATCCTACGAAACGAAGCTTAAATTTCGCCTCATTGGTTACAAGAGTAGAGTCTGATGTGTATGCGTTTCTTATATAAGAAAAGAGCAGAAATCCTTATATTCATTGAAACCTGCAACTTAACTACCCTATACACACCTGTACCATGCTTCATGGCAATTCTGTCTTGTCCAAGCCAGTAAATTCGACTAGTTACTAGTTGAATACTTTATCTGTGAAACCATAACCACACACTGAAACAGTACTTGGATAATAAGATTTTGTTGAATACTTGGGATTAGCGTAACAGTTTCACTCATTTAAACAATGGGACAATAGCTCTTAGTTTCTGTATTCTAGGAAACCTGCTTGCTAACTTATAATTCCTTTAATTGAGTACGTTATTAGAATCTACGTTTATCTGATCACCCAGGTAGTATAGTTCATATTTAAGTACCTGAAGAATGAGTTAATTCGAATTGTAAATTCTATGCTAGGTTATTACTAACGTAATTAACTGACAAGATGAAATGAAATTCTAGCCGATGACAATGAATCAGACATTTTATACTTCAATAACTTGTAATGATATCACAGTTGCTTGATTTTTTTTTCCACTGTTAGTTGTACATTAATGGGATCTTAGTGATGAATTTTATTTTTAGGCAGCTATTTACATTGTGAAGTACATGGAATGGGCGTTAAATACAATCTTTAGTTGAAGTATATCAGCACTTTGTCAGATCTATTTTGAAACACATTTCACCATACTGTTGAGTCAGTCTGAATGTAATAATCATCGTTGATACAAGTAAAATCTACTTCTTAATAGCTTGTCAGTATCTAAAACGTAAATAAATCATAATTTGTACTGGAGGCATGAAACACATATAAACGTACTGAATAGTAGTAATGGAAAAGTGCAACAACTAGGGTTAATAGTCATACATATGATAAGAGTAAAAGTTCTATTGATACCATATCACTTTATTTATAGACATTACTAACACTTAGAGTAGATTCAGTACATTAAAATCTTTCATAGTGAGATTAATGCAGGATGATGATGATGGTCTACTATAAGATTTCAAATATAATTTTCACTTCATTTGTGACTGATCAACTGAACTTTCCCAACAAGATGATGTTATCTTCGCGGGGTTTCTCCGCATGGGTTCGAATCCCATCCCCTTCATCACTGTTATAGTTTTGTCTTATCACTCGAGAAGTCCCAAAATCGGAACACGGTTAAACATGAAGGAGATTGTATTCCAAATAAAAGGGGTAGAGGGAAGTAAGAAGCACAATAAGAAAAACGATATTATATTTATAGTTTTCACATAATAAGATTCTAGAGTCTTCTCCAAGTATCGAATAGCGGTGGTTGGATAAGGATTAGCCAATCAGTGTGCGTCAACGCAATCGTGCATGGAACATGCTTTAATCCAATCTATGTCGCGCTAACAACTTCATCTCAAGCACTAATGCATTACTATTTACTGAGCTATCGAGTTTAAACAGTCACTAAAAGCCTGTTAGTAGGTATTTGTTATTTCTTTTCAGGACTGAAATTAATCAGTATCTGTTGTCATATGTTATGTTATGTAATGTATTACATAAACAATTTTTGTTATTGTTACATATTTTTAGCCAAGAACTTTAGGCGAAACTCTAGGCATCAGTTTAGAAATGTTGTCGTCACCATTTCATCAAAATCAAGCACCATCGTCTACTTCTCCATTTAATGAATTTAAAGTAAGCTCCGCTTTGAATAATCGTTTTTTTCCACTTAATATCGCCGAATCTTGATATGTTTTTCTGAGCTAAGAAGATCAATAATAATATTTTCTGGAAATTTTGAAAAAATCCACCTTGATTTGCGAACATGATCAGTCTGATAGATATTAGAGATGCACAGGTTATTTTAGTGAAGACTTGTGAAAAATATGTTAATAATATAAAGAATTGCTCGTGTACGCTGGGACCATCGACTAAGTAACACAGTTGTTAAGGAACGGGTACTAGGTAAGGATAGCAAATCAATTGGTAAATAATTAACCAGACAGTCATACAAGGTCAAAGAAAGTTAATGTGGTGGTGGGCGTATCACTTTATCATTGGTGAGTTTGCTTATCGATCACACTTCACAATCATCTGTAGGTTTTGTAGACACAGCATACATGAGCGGCTGGAGGTTCTAAAGTCATATTGTGTACGATTTAACTCAGGAATCGAGTGCTGAATGCTTCAACAATAAACTTTCATTTTGGTGATGATTTTAAGTGACTCGCCGTTTTTAGCTAACTAGAAAAAGGCTGGTAAAAATAAAAAGTTCACCAAATGCAACTAGGAAAACTACAAAGTACATGTTGTTCACTAATGAAACTCAAAACATTTCAGTATGAATATATTTATGCGACTGTAACTAGTGTTTTGAATTTTTGCACATTGTTTCCGTTTCATTAGTTTGAACCCCTGTTGCATTCCTTTGTTCGACTCAGTCACGAATCCGTAAAATTTTGATGAACACAAGTCATTAGTATTGATAACATACATAGAAATTGAAATAAAAACAGGAATGCTGATAATCGAAACATAATATTGTATGGAAAAGTATGGGGTTGGATCTTGAACAAGATGAGCTCGGTCGTTTTTCTAGATATGTTATTGGCAGTCTTCATATACAGATTGTAGACTGTCACCATAAACCCTATAGAACAGATGCTTGAAGATTATTTCACACAATCTTTTTTGAACAAGGTAATGTCTGATCTGATTAAGATCGATCCTTTCTATCTCTTCATTCTGTGAAAGGAAAGTATCGCTCCATGTAATTCTCACCAACAGAAAACTTTTTCTGCTTCTATACTTCCGCCGTTGACAGTATGACTTCACACTTCAATCTTTGATTTAAAGCTTTTGTCCTACCACTCCCCACTATGATCCTAAAAAACAAGGGTTTCAACAAACGTCAAGTCATCAAGATAGACCATCCTAAACACCGCGTTAAGTTGAAAATGGCTCCTCAAAATTAGCATTCTTAGTGACTAATGATGATAAAACCTAGAATCGTTTTTTAACTACTAAAATATCTATTGGAGCTTCAAGCAAACTTCCTGTATGTTCTTTTTACATCACAGCTTACTGATAATTAAAGTTTACATTATTAATGATCGGGTACTTTTCATTCTTCAGTTATCGCGTTATTACTTCGGCGGTTGAGATTGCACAGTCGTAATGTGGTGTGTGCTACTTATATTTGACATAAGTAGTATATGATGTGAACAGAAGGTCTGGTAGCGGAGAGGCAAAGAGGATCGAACAGTAAAGAATGGAAACAGAATGCAGTTTGTATGAAAATGCAAGAACAATGAAGTCTGAGTCATTTTGAGACAACTGGTGGACATTTTGCAAATTAAGCATTTACTTTATGATTACTAGTATAGGGTGTGTGGAGATTATTAAGTTTTTTTTTATTCAGATCATGAAACGATTGATGTTAGACCACCTTTGGAAACCTGGAAGCACTGGACGGCCGTTTCGTCCTATTGTGGGGTTCCTCAGCAGTGCGCATCCACGATCCCGCTCGTGGGATTCGAACCCAAGTCCTTCGGTCTCGCAAAAATTAATTACCGTATTCTTTCATCCCCATTCGTATGATGTGCATATGTTCTTACTTTTTGGTCTTATATATTTCATCTTTTATCTAATAGATTTGTCGGTTGATTTTGTTTTATTCACTGGTTCCCTCTAACATACACTCTAGTAATTTTACCCATAGTTCAAACTTGAACAATAAACTCGAACAAACAGTCATGTCATTATAAATAAATTAATATATTTATAATACCTTAATGAGTAGAAAAATGAGATTTTCTGACGTTTCGTGACTCGGTATAAACTACTTCTTCAGAGAATAAAAAGTGGTTTATATTAATTTATTTGTAGTAATCTACCCAATGCTCAATTTGTTCGAAATTATCAAGTCAAACCTTGTTAATGATGCCCGCAACGTTATGTCATTAGTTTATCTCATGGAAACATCAATGAGAAATCGTTAGAATAAAATGCTATTCATTTAAGGAAAAACATCAGTGTTTTCCTAATGTTAATTTATGAATTTTTATACACTTTTCTAATGATTTAATAACGATAATGCTGCATAGTGATATGATAATGTTCATAAAGAATATCGTATTCTTTTTTGTTTAAATATGGCCGTTATATACTACTTATTTTACTGTTTTAGTTTCCTGCTAATACTGAAGGAAAAGATTTGAACTCAAACATGTGAGTGTGTTTTTCTTTTGAATCTTAACTTCATATTTAGTTTGGAAAAATATTTCTTGTTTGTTACAGTTCTTAAAATCCACTGAACGCGAATACACTGATATTATATAAAAGCGCATAATATTGTGTTTAGTTGACTTAATAGTTCAACCTTTTATTCTATCTAACTATATCAAATGCATCTATTCTGTAAAGGCTGTTTTACACACACACACACGTTTCAATAATTTCAACTTGTAAATAATCAGTTAAATTTATATACAAAGTTAAACTTATACTTTCTTGGCAGTTTTCTTCAAAGTACTTATCCATTGAAGATTCACTAGACATTTATTTATTTATTTTAACACACAGATATTGGTACAAGGAGGCACCAAATACATATACGCCACACAAATCTCATTTGATATGTGTGACGGCTATGATACTGACCGGGTGCCAAAACTGGAGCAGGTGGTTTTCTTAGGGGGCCACACCCCGAGCCTTCGCCCTGAAGGTCTGATCCACAAGGCAGTGGAGCATCGTAAGGAGATGCAGTCCCATGGAAGCCGGTGACCAACAATTGGTTAATACGCCATTTGTTCCCGCAGGATACTGGAGCCCATGTGCACTATTGGTTTGGAATCCGGTTGAAGCGCCGGACATTCGCTTTTCGTCCTCTCAATTTCGTAAACAACACCCCCGCCACAAGAAGACAGTGAGTAGGACTTACCTGGCAGAGGCTATATACGCGTGGCCATGTGAGAGCATTTCGAGAGGGAGAGTGGACTCTCCCCACTCTCGGCCGTACCAGGGCATTTAGGGGCAAAGGTATGGTGGAGGTGGAATTCGAACCCACGGCCTTACAGACTGGTGCCTAAAACCTATACATGCATTGTTGTATATATTGAAACTAATTCTTCCAGGTTATGCCTTGTAAAATGACACTACACCAATGATGCATATGGGCTCCAGAATCCTGGGGAAACAAATGGCGTATGAACCAATCGTTGGTCACCGGTTACCATGGAACTGCATCACCTGACGTTGCTTCACTGCCTTGTGGATTAAACCTTTAGGTCAAAAACCTGGGGCGTCGCGCCCCTCAATAAAACCACTTGCATCGGTTTGTGCACTAGGGCAGTATCCCAGCCCACACATAAATCGAATGATGCCTCCTTGTACCAATGTTTATGTGTTTAAATAAATAAATAAATAAATAAATAACACTATATTTATACGAGTCTTCAAGCATTTGCTGATGCATAACAGTGCTAACAGTGGAATCCAGGACGCGCGTCTCGTCCTATCTAGGTCTCGTCAGCTGGATGTACCTGAATCTAGAAGTTGATGTTCACTCTGGGACTCGAACTCAGTACCGTTCATTTCGAACACCATCGTATTATCCACTTAGCTACTACTGAGTCCTGACAGTCACCTGTTTGTACAATGGGGTGAAGTTTAAATTCACTTGGTATTGTTTACTTAAATCTTCCCATTGATGTTTAGAACGGCACATAGAGTAATATCTTGTAAGCTTTGGATGAACTATAAATTTGTACAGGGTAGAACCTGTCAAAATATCCACGGGTAGTGAAATTGTGTTTCTTAACTGCTTTTCTACATTTCTATATTGTATTTATATGATATATCCAGTGATATTTTCGGAGGTTTGTTTAGTCATTCAGCTTCAAATTAATTTTTATCAATAAAAATAATTTCCCAAATAACTTGATCATTTTCTAATGGGATAGTAATACCTTTGAAAAAGAAGATGTGATAGCAACTTGTTAACCTCTTAGAACTGTGTTTCATATATTAGAATTTATGATTATTTGGCTTAGTAGAAACTATTATTCATTATCATACAGTCATAACTAACTAACTAACACATGTTGAATAGAACGAATAACAATTAGCTTCTATAGTATTTCATATATTTTTATTCTTTTAATTCATTCATTCCTTATAATTTTGACTATATTCTTCCTCACGGTAATTGATAATGATACTGTTTCGACTCTTTCGATACTTACCTCGTCAGTTTTGTCTTTATGCGATGATGGTGGTGGTGATATGTTGAATTGAGCTAGCTCATATTTGTTCGAGGTTTTATATTGATAACGACCAACTGATTGACCTGGTTGAAATTGCATTACACGACTTAACTTAATTGTCAATAATATTCAATATATATTTATGTATAATAATTATTATTCAATGATTAGCTTTAGTTCTGAAAGCAAGGAGTCTCCGGACGACATTGTAGATCGTGAATTGGTTATATTTCGTCGACCATCCAGTGTATCCTCCGGAGAATGTAAGTAAAGTTTGATGCACTTTCGCATTGTTATATATAGACTACTGGAGATAGGAAATCAAATCAGTTGTTAGACATATTTTGTGCTAATATCCCTGAATGTTATGTTGATAAATTCACCTTCCATTCTACAAGTTTGTGAGCTCTCTAAAGTTGCAAATATTTCTTACTAATCAGTTTAAATTGACATACACTCAGATCAAGGAATTCCTGTGAATATGTCCAAGCATCCAATTTAATTTAATTTCCAAATATTCAGAGATACTTTACTTGGAAGTATACCTGTTGAGATGATTTTCAAAATGGGTTGGAAACTCTTTTTAATATCGTGCTCATAACAGAATCAATACATTGAAGCTTATTTTTTAAAGTGTTTTAAATCTCACCAATAATGAAGCGTATTATCTCCCACAACACTTTAGAGATTAAGTGCCGAAGACTTATTGTGTTTTAGGCGTTGATCTTCGTTCATTATGTGAAATACGAGTGGTCGTTACCATTCAGCCTACTATACTGTAGTAGATGATGAGAGGTAGGGGAGGGTTAATTTGTAATGTATTTTTGTTGGAACAAAGCTAACTACACAATTAGGGACTCATTCCTAAATGACCATAAATACTACTACTATCAGTTATAGAATTTTCGGTTATTCATCTCCATATTGAATTTCTACATATTTGGTGTTAGATATCAGAAATGAATTCCAAATATGAATCTTAGAAAGTGGAACCTTGGTTTAGTTCAACTTAGTTAACTTAATATATGTTGCTACGCTTTTGAAGGAAACTATGGTAAAGTGTGATAACGAGTCAAGATTACAAGATTATGCTAGTAGGTTTATTTAACTGTCATTAAATGAATGATTTATGATCTCCTAGTCGATAATCTATGAATTCATCAATCATTACCTACTACTGATTTTATTTTCAATGAATTTCATTAATTTTCTATGATTAACGAGAAGGAGTTGGTGAAAATGTATTGTTATTTATAGATAAATATAATTATAGATATGTAAAACAAAATGCCTCCTCATGGCGTGGGTGTTGTTTACAAAAATTAGAGGACGAAAAGCGAATGTCCGGCGATTTAACCGGATTCCAAACCAATAGTGCACATGGGCTCCAGTATCCTGCGGGAACAAATGGCGTATTAACCAATTGTTGGTCACCGGCTTCCATGGGACTGCATCTCCTTACGATGCTCCACTGCCTTGTGGATCAGACCTTCAGGGCGAAGGCTCGGGGAGTGGCCCCCTAAGGAAACCACCTGCTTCGGTTTGGGCACCCGGGCAGTACCACAGCCCTTAAACATTTCGAATGAGATTTGTGTGGTGCATATGTATTTGGTGCCTCCTTGTACCAATATCTGTGTGTTAAAATAAATAAATAAATAAATAATACAACAAAATGCCGTAACCAATATTAGTATTTCACTCTTCTTCGGTTGAATCGCTCAATCGAATTCAATTTACAACTGTCCTTGTTTCAACTCTACCTATAAGTATATTTGTTGTTTATGTCTAAAGTAAATTACTATCTTCATTCAAAATAGTTATTCACTTTTAACAATTGAATTACCGTTTTATTGAATGGCATTCTATGATATGAATTTAAGGAGAATCTTTTATCAGTGTTAAGGTTTAGAGATATTCACTATAATCAACAGCTCACAATGTAGGTCATTATGACCATTGTAATGAACGAGAACACCGATGGGGACAACCAAATGTATTGGAATACAACATTTTCGAATATCTTGGTAAAATCTGAGAACCATACAGTAAATACTTCATTTGCAAAATATCCATCAATTGTCTCAGACTTTGCTATTCCTTCGTTTCCATACCAATTACTCTCTGTTCTCGTTTTCATCTCTTGGACTTTCTCAACCTTCTGCAGCTAGGCATCAGTAGCACACACCACACAATATCTACTGTAATGTGCACTACTTATGCTGACAGAAATAAGTAATGTGTAGCAGGAATCAGAAATAGAATGCTTATCAACAGAAGAGTCAAATAACGAGAAGAGAAAGGGAAACGATGAGCAATCAGATTATCAACAGGATTGGAAGATTGATGAAGTATGTATAGGATAATTGAAGGAAGATACACAAATAATGTATTTAACGTATGCTCTTTCGTATTTTACAGAGGCGCTGTTTGATTTTGCTCAAAACAATAAATTGGTTTATCCTATCTGAGCTTTCGTTCACTGTACTACTACTAATTCAAATCGGTTGTTGAGCTTACTTTTCATAATAACCGTCGTTTGTTTCACTGACACAATAGGTTACTTTAATTATCTGGAAAAGTTGGACACTTTTTCTCAAATTTTTGTGTCATTCATTTTTCTCCCTTTATGCTGATATCAATTGTAATAACGTGAACTGTGTACACCCAAGTAGTACACACGAACTGACATTTCTACATCTTTTGCTTCTTATATGTGTCTCATCTACTCTGTAATGGAGTTAAGAAAGAACAAATTCTGATGAAAGACTAAGCAGTAGTATTTAGTGTAGTAGTCGAAAACCATCAAATTCTTAAGCTTATTTTATTTCTAAAAGTAAAAGCTATTGAGAAATCAATGAATTAGTTGATTAAAAGTTTACTATATCATGTTCCAATAAACTTTCATTATTTCTTTTTTTTAAATTTATTTGTTAACACCTCTGCTAATGAAATAGCGTTTGTTGACGATTTACCGGATGAATTCTTTGAACACACTGAAGAAGATATACGTAAATTAATGCGTTCATATCGTAATGAATGGTAAGTTGTATAAACCATTTAAGGAATCATATCAAACAATCAAAAATGATAAACCTCTCGCATTATACTTGTGAGGTTAGACGTAGGGTATTAGTGAGTGATAGTAAATCAGTCGATGAGGTTGTAAAACTCCATCGACTAAGATGGTTTGGCCACGTGTTACGTATACCTGAACTCCGATTACCACGATGCGTAATGCTAACTAGTGTTGGGGATGGTTGGAAGAAAGTAAGGGATGGACAAACCAAAACGTGGCATCAGTCATTGAAGTCACTAACTTCTAGTCTGAGCCATGTTGGTAGATGCAGACTACTTGGTTGGGGTCCGCATGACTATCGTAACTAATGGTTGGAGGCTGTGGATGACATGGCTCAGAATCGATCACAGTGGCGTAAGTGTATGCACTCTCGGTCTTCCCTTAAAATTGCTTTATATCTTTCTTTCTTCCTGCACTATATCCTTATAAACAATCTTTCTTCTATATATTATTACCATTGAAATAACTACTATGAATTTGATATTCACCTTGTTGTGCTAATGAGGTACGACAACTTAGACCGATGCATATATGTGTCTGGTCCTACGTTGTAGCTGACTGACTGCTTATTCTTGTCGTACAGTCGAAAAATTTCGAAAAAATCTCAGTTTTCAGTTTTGCTTTTGATCTATGTCACAGAAAGCAGGTTGACTTTCCGTATATATTAGGTGAAATGTGAATGGATAGTACTTTCAAGGAGGGATTATTTGAATTTCCTGCTTAGAAATCAACTTTGACATAGATCATTATCCTAATAAATTTGTATAGTTTAGTAAATTTGGTTCAATGATATTTGTTTTTCTGTAATTACTAGGGTCATCATATTAAGGTTGTATGTTTTTCATAGTATGGCTATACCGTTTCACCTCTTTTTTGTTTTTCATTACAATTATAGCTTCAAATCGAAATTTCTTTCATCAGTTCACTTTTTTTTCGTTTTGCAGGGCGGAAAATCAACCTCTTCAAACATCGACTATGCGTTCAGAAGCTCGTCATAAATCCTATTCTAAATACTGTCGAGCTATTATTCAATTTCACTGGGTTGATAATCTTATTGTTCAAGCATGTTTCCTTCCTACTGAAAAAGGTTTGTTTTTATAGTAATTTTTTTCCTAAGACTATTTGTAATTATTTACTTATTTCATTTTACTTAATGCAATAAGTCATCAGTCCAAACTGTCACATAGTGATGGTACAACAAAGACTAGGGTCAACTTCATAATAATTTAAATGGAATGCTTCTTAAACTGTATTTACGAAACTCCCCATTTTTTTTAAAAAGTTTCATGTTAACCTTCGATTCTGTTGCGTGAAATTAATTTATGGTTACAACGAGTAGGGACTTCATTTGCTATGAATCCATATAAAGAACCATTTAGATTTAATTTGATAATGTTAGACAGTCATTATCAATGTAAAGCCTAGCGCCGACGTGTAATGCTGTAATTTGCATTATTGGATTAACACGACGAAACGAAGTTGGTAAAATGCATGATTTGGTAAAAGAGGTCAGAATAATGTGGTAACAATCACAATGGAAAGGACTAAGCATTTAGAATAGGGTTTGAAAAGACAGAGTGGAAAGATATATGTGGAGAAATAGTCGAATTCAAGATTGAGATCAAGGGAAAAATGAACGCGTCTGAAGCATTATGAACGATTCTAAGCCATTTTACCTTAAGTCTCCAACCATTGATGAACCCCATCTAAGTAGGCTGCATCTACCAACATGGCTCAAACCACCAGTCAGTGATTTTATGGGTTGGAGCTGTTATCTTGGTTTGCCCACCCCTGACTTCATTCTAACCTAATCATACTCCAGGGAATACCAGCTACTAAGGTAGGTTGCTACGTTTGACGACACCTTGCAATCACCTAAAACCGGCGAACGGAACGAATGTCAACAAAACAGGACATCTAGCTATTCCACTGCGTCCCAACCCTGCTAACGATGAATACACCATATAAAAGGCTTGGAACTTTAGGTATCTGATTTAATCAACTGATGCCAGTCAGTAAGTTATCATCAGCATAAAGCCTAGACCCACAGATGTATGTTGACCCAACTCGCAACACACCATTAACTTGACATTGAGTTACTTCGATAGTACACAATGTCTTACAAGTAGAAACCACTTACAGTCAACAAATATCAACTAATTTATTCAATAAAGGTTCACAGGGTCTTCAACTTATCATCCTTCTACCTACTACAAACCTTAACATTACTCGGATATGAATTGTCATATGGCTGATAAGTAACAAACTGTTATATCCCGATAAGAGTAATGAATAGTAACTTTTGGGATCCATTTATGGATCGTATAATTGTTAGATAACTAAACTATTCATATTCGTGTTCCTCTTATTATGAGCTTTATTTTTACCTATGAACTATTATTATACGTTGTCTGGGCTAGGCAGGAAGCAGGACAATAAGGACTCTAGACTGCTCGCACGGGTTTTATGCATCATTGGTTCGATCGATAATTCACTGTTCTCTAATTGGCGGTATCATTAAGTTATACATTGACAGGGCACACATTCCACGAGTTATGACACGAACAAAAGGTATATTCGTTTAAGAATAATCTTTAATTTACTGTCTCCCTACATAATTTATGAAGTCATCTATTTAAACTTCCATTTTCTTACCAGAAAGATTTGGAGAACCATCAAATGCATAATATCGCTGTAACATGTTTATTCGTATCAATTTTGGGCTTCTCATTAGTGTACACTACGTTACAAAGTATCAAATCTAAGAACCGTAGTTCACACTTGAAACAGGGTACAATTCAATCAATGAGTTGATATTCGATAGACCATGGTCATTAAATTCATTCAATACATTATAGACAACGAACAGTAATCGTAAAATGTTGTGTATGAACTATTTTCAGTCTCAACTTGTTTGACTAAAGTGAACATGGCTTCAAAGTAGAACTTAATCTCTCCAAACTCTATAGTATGATATTGGTTATGTTTAGCTCTCTTCAAGTAAGACATTGGTATACCAAGTAGACAACTAGTTTTTCATATTTTTATTATCTAAAAGTGTATGAATAACAAAATGGTTACGGTTATTATCGATCTATAGTCTCATACTTTGTATCTCCACTGTTTAATTGTTGTTCAGACACTTTGATTCCATCATTAACCGTTCTAATGTAGGTTAAGCTCCATAATTTAATAATGTAGACCTGTGGATTAGTTAATCTGTTGTGATAATCGATTTTTTCTATACTTGTCTTTCATAGTGTCAGCATTATACAAATTTATTCGTGATCTGCAAAATTCTACTTGTGATTTTAAACTATGTAAGTTGTTTGTTACATGATCCTTTTGTGTATTGTGTTAAATTACAGTTTTTTTCTTTTTCAATGCTTCCGTTATTGTTAATGTGACTTTTGTCAGTCAGTCGGTAACAACGTAGAACTTCGTACGTAAGTACATCAGTTCAACTTGCCGTAGCACATTAGCACGGAGATGCAGTTGTCGATTCAAATTCCATTGTGGTAGAGGTAATGAAAGTATAAGTAGTAATCGGAAAGATTCGAGTTTGAAGATGTTATTCAAGGAGTAGAATCCAGCGAAATAAATTTGGAAAGAGAAAAAGAAAAGTACATGAAGGATTCAGATTATAATTTGGGAGAACACAGAGTAGATGCACCTGCTCACACTATTGCAAACGATTTTGAGCCATGTCATTCAAGGTCTCTAACCATCGGTTGCTGTCATCTCACGGATCCCAACCAGGTAGTCTACACCTACCAGCATGGCTCAGTCCATTTGTGAGTGACTTCATGGATTTGTTTCCTGTTTTGGTCTGGTCGCCCCTAGCTTTCTTCCAAAATACTCCACCATGAAACATCGCACGTCTTGGCAGTCGGTGGATGGACATACGTAATACATGACCCAGCCATTTCAACTGATGAAGTTCCATTACTTCATCAATTGATTTTCCATCCTTACTTAGTACCCGTTTCCTAACAACTGTGTTACTTACTCGATGGTCCCAGGATATACGAGCAATGTGTTCGAAGCAACTATGATCAAATACTAGTAACCTACGAATATTCTCTACTCTTACCGGCCATGTTTCACTGCCATAAAGTAGGATGGAGTGAACTGCTGCGCAGTAAAGCGTCATTTGTTTGGTAGACGAATATTTCGCCTACTCCATAAATGACGCAAGTTGGCAAAAGCTAGTCGAGCCTTCTGTACCGTGCTGAAATTTCGTCACACATCAGGCTACAAGAGCTGATGAGACTCAAGAAAAGTGAAGCGGTCGACCCGCTCAACTACTTCATTCCCTGTCATTAGTTTAGATGTCAATGCAACCCAATCCTGAAGCAACATTTCGCATTTCGAGGGAGAGAATCGCATGCTGAACATGCTTGCATTGTTACTTAGAGTGGTCAGAAAATTGCATTTTACCAGCGTCTTCACCAAATAGAACTGTGTCAACAGGTGAATCTCTCGGTAGAAGTTCAACCCCTTGAAATTTAGATGAGGAAGGTGTTATCTATAAACGCATGTCTACGATAAAGTTGAACAAGAATGGAGAGAGTGGTCAGCCCTGAAAAACACCACTCAAGGTAATCAATTCTGATGACATTTCGCCATAAGCTCTCACTCGACCAGTTATGTTCGAGTACAGAGCCTTTATAAGGTTAATGTACTTCTTTGGTACTCCTTTCAGTGACACTTTTGTTCTTTTAAATCATTTGATGAACATAAACAAAGAATCACTAGTACTTTTTTCAGTACTGAGTTAATGAACTACTACTCACTCTACTTATTATCTTCAGTAACACTTGTATATTGTGTGCATGAATACAGAATGAATGATAACTGTATAGGTTTGATATAATGAGGGGAAAGTTGATAAATCATAATCAAACCAATCAGTAACTTATATGTACTGAACAGACTAACATGAGTTCGTTGTTAGTTATTTTAATAAACACTTCAAATCAAATAAGTATCCATTATTATTTGATAAATTCTTAACAGTTTTCCATATAGATTAACTAAATAATAATAAATGAAAATGTGTATTATGACATATACTACTTATATCGACATAAGTAGTATATATATAACGCGAGTTAGGAATAGAATGTCTGACAGCAGAAGATTGAAAAGATCGAGAAGGGAAGAACGGGAACAGAAAGCATTTGGTATGGAAATGCATGACTAATGAAATCTGAGACAAATAATCAACAGTTTACACATGAAGTATTAGAGTATGGTTTTTCTATTTTACCAAATAACTCGGTAATTTTGTGCTAAATATAATTCAGTTGTTCTCACCTTTGTTCACCTTCACTACAGTATGAGTCCAAATAAAGATCCTTGTCAAATTAATAAATTAACAACAGATTCTATTGTGAATGAAGTAAGATAATTAAAATATTTTTATTACAATAATACAAGAAAGGGGGGGTCGAGTAAATTAACTAAATAATCATATTTCCTAGTTGAAAGTTCTATCAAGATCTTATAATTGATAAAATATGCTCTAAATCAAACGATTCACACAAGAATATATTCAACGTAGTTTCCTAAAGTCTACGGTTTTCAGGATTCATCTAACAATTGAATAATTATAGATGTGAATAACATTATATGTTAGTCAAGTTGATTTGTCTTTGCCCAATGAGTTCATCTTAACACATTTAAAAACTTGGAATCCACACTAATAGTACATATGTACTCCAGAAAACTTGAGGAACAAATAACTTAAGAATTCACTCATTTGGTTTCCACCTTGTGACGTCGCTCCACTGCATTGAAGAAGAATAGGTCTTTAGTTCAAAGACTCAGACAATGGTTCTTTAATAAAACCACTTGGTTCAGTTTAGACATCCAAACAGTGTCAAGACCCTCACATTGATAATAAAATTTCCCATTGAAGATAGATTATTCAGTAGTTTATCCAATGTTATGTCACATTGTAAGTAAGTTGGGAAAAGAACATATAATTTACTTGATCAATCTTATTTCAATACTGGTCAGTATGGGGTTAAAATAACAAACATTGAAAACGCCGAACTTCCATCTCGTTCTAGTATTGAATCTCGATTCATTCACCATTGGTTCCTGGCTCAGTGGTTTGGTCGTTTAAGTGTTCACACGCGAAATCGAAGATCCCGAGCATGGTTCCCGGTTTTGGGATTGCTGATTCCCTTTCCTGAGGAGTCCTATATTACGACAATTTGGCCGTTCAATGCTTCCAGTTTTTCAATGATTGTGTAACTTGGATCAGTTCATGATCTCAATAAAACTGTCAATAGTTTAACAGCCGATAAATTAACCAAAATATTAGATTAGAATATAATCTTCGTTGATTAATGACAATAGACTGAACGTATGTCAGTTAGACTTTTTCAACTTTACAATTAGAACAATCTTAATCTGACTACACTTTTCCGATGTGTCCTCATTGTCTTTTTCCTTGTCATAGACAATTTTCTTTCTTAAAAAAATAGTGACATAGCAACAAAACGTATTTCATTCATCGTTACATTTTCATTGTATACTGGAGTTTGGAGTGTTACCAAAATAACTTATATAATCGGAATCTTATATGGTGGATTAGAAAATTGTTATTTATATAAGCCTTAGTTTAAAACCAAGAAAAAAAAAGAAACAAAGAGTGGAGAGATTATCCGTTCAAGCATATAAACACATTTAGATTGACTGCATCCTATGATGCAGTTGACTATTTTAGTAAAGCCCCCTAAAAAAAGTAATAAGTACAATGAATTACAGTCCTATTCGAATTTTGATTAATGGAATATTAAAAGATAGAAGACACTTGACAACTCTATATTCACTATACAATTTGAAGGAGGTAACTTGTTATTTTTCTTATTATTTAATTGATCTAATTTACGTTTTATCAGTCTGGTAATCTCATATTCATTCATAATCATACATGTTCTAACTAAATATCATTCATTTTAAGAATGGATTCTATTCATCTATAAAACTATGTGTATCCAAAAACTGTCATATCAATTGTACAATTAGTTTTACAGAATGGATCACTATTGTTAAACAACGTACAGGAAACTTAAGTACTAATTATCCTATTCATTCTTATTATTTAATAAACTTTAGATGCTTAGTCTCTGGTACTCATAATCTATACACAATCAGTATATCAGAATGGGTTTTGTGGAGATTTTTAGAAATTTCATAGGTTGAAATCATGAGTCAATTAAAGCTAGACCACCATGAAAAACCTGGAAGCAGCAGACGGCCGTTTCGTCCTAGTATGCGACTCCTCAGCAGTGCGTGTCCACGATCCCGCACCCCGCATCTTCCATTGTCTGAGGTGGATACCTGTCTCTACCCGACACGGAATAACTCCACCGGTCATGTCTTCTCATTGTAATTCCGAGACTTCCCTCACGAAGCTAATCACTAGTGAGCACATGGTAATAATCAGTATATGGTTGTGGAGATAATTAGGCTTTTGATTGAGATCATTAATCGATTGATGTTAGACTACTCGCGAGCGGGATCTTGGATGCGCACTGCTGAGGAGTCCCACAATATAATGAAACGGCCGTCCAGTGCTTCCAAGTTTTCAATAGTGGTCTAACGTCGATCGATTCATGATCTCAATCAAAATATATTTGTACTTGATTTATTGGTCTCCTTTTTCCCCCTATCTAACATCAACAGAATAATATTTCATTTCATATGTATCATTGATCATCCATTGTTATCTGTTGCTTTTTACAGATACTACTCCGCCTAAATTGTTTCTATCTGATACAAATATTACATTGATTGAAGTGAGTGTGGAAATTTTCTTCTGTTATACATTTTTTTATTTGTTCAAAGGGTGTGTTTTTTTTCCGCAAAAATATTTTAAGGAATATTTATGGTATGTGTACCACTTGAATACACAACACTGATTTTTCACTGCATCCTGGTTACCCAGAAATTTCTTCCAATTAAACCGTGAAAAGAAAAGAAAAATCTGAAACTATCTAAGTCACCTTTACTTCCTAAATTAATGTATGTACAGAAAACAGAAGTATTTATTGGTTTATTTGCAACGTTTGATATTCTGAAAGTTTTTTTAAAAAAAAATATATTCAAGTTAGTAACAAAGCCATAGTATAACACATGAGCCATCGTTATTCTAAAATTATCTGAGAAGTTCCTATCAATATTTAGATTCCATGACATACAAACCTAAGTGATTTGTATTTATGAAAAGTTTCAAGTTTCACTGCTGAGGAGTCCCACAACTGGACGAAACGGCCTTCCAGTGTTTCCAGGTTTCCAAAGGTGGTCTAACATCAATCAGTTCATGATCTCAATCAAAAACTTAATAATCTCCGCAATTCCTATACTAGTAATTAACATTTGCTCACTAGTGACTAGCTTCGTGAGGGAATTATCGGAGTTCTAGTGAGAAGCCATGACCAGTGGAGCTAATCCATGTCGGGTAGAGACAGATATCTACCTCAGTACAATGGAAGATGGTCGCGCATTTCGGTGGATTGGTTGAGGTTAGACATTAACAGCATTGGATGCCGACTCAGTGGTCCAGTAGGTTAAGCGTTCGCGCGCGAGACTGACTGCCCTGAGTTGGAATCCCGTGAGGCGGCATCGTGAATGTGCACTGCTGAGGAGTCCTACAACAGGACGAAACGGCCGTCCAATGCTTCCGGGTTTCCAAAGGTAGTCTAACATCAATCAGTTCATGATCTCAATCAAAAACTTAATAATCTCCACAACCCCTGTATTAGAAATTGAATTCAATTGTCTACACAGAATGTTGAATTCTTTGTAGCACGATCTGAACTAATTGTCTATATTTGGTAGTTGGTAAATAAAAAAGAAATTTACTAAGATGTATTTCATTTTCAGATGTTATTTGATATACCATCGAATGTGTAGTACATAAAGAGTCTATTTGAATTCACTCAACTAATGAATTGTATTTTCTAAAACGTAGTTTATTCTTACATATTTTTCTTTATTTGCGTGTATTACATTTATTATGCTTTAGGCTGATTTAGTACCTTTATCAAAAGTATTTTATCATCCTACTGACATATCAGCTGATAATGGTAAGTAGTATAAATCATTTACTCTTTTAAATAAATTGTTTTTTAAAATATCTATTTTAACATATAAACATTGGTACAAGGAGGAACCTAATAGATATGCGCCAAATAAATCATTCGATTTGTGTAAGGGCTGGGTTTACTGCCCGAGTGCCCAAACCGAAGCAGGTGGTATTTCATAGGGGGGCTACACCCGGAGCCTGTGATCTAAAGGTCTAATTCACAAGGCAGTGGAGCAACGTCAAGAGATGCAGTCACATGGTAGCCGGTGACCAACAATAGATTCATACGCCATTAGTTCAGTCAGGATACTGGAGCCAATGTGTATCATTGGTTTAGAGTTGGTATTTTGCAACTCCGTTAGGTGGACTCTCCCTATCCACCAACTAGGCTAAAGCGACGGACGTTCGCTTTTCGTTCTCTCACTTTCGTAAACAACACTCGTGGTACAAGAAGACAGCGAGTGGAACTTCACTCGGAGTGGTTGTATGCACGTGGCCACTTAAGAGCATTTGTAGAGAGAGAGCTGACTGTCCCCACTCTCGACTGTATCAGAGCATTTGGGCGTCTTTTAACGCAATCCCTGTCAACAACTCTTATTTGGCCTATTTAGCTAGTATTTAAGTAGGTAATCATTAACAGTGTACGTGTGTGTGTATGTATGAACGAACAAATTATTTGAAAAGAAAGTAGTGTTTATTCAGCGATTATTTTTCTTGGTTGATAGTTTTTTTTTGTTTTCCACTAAAAACCGCATTTATTAATAATATTTTTTAAATGTAAGTTGTAAAACTCCATGATCTTCAGTTAAAAGGGGATTGTATTTATAAGGTTTTATTTAATTGTTGTTATTTAGAACTGCAGTTTATCAATCTCTATCGGTGTATACACATTCGGACCGGATTCCTCCGTTTTCGCCTCATTTATTCGCAAGGTTAAAATGTGGCTAACAGTAAAATCGAAGAGATGCGTTTTGCCCTATGTTGGACTTGAGTGTGAACATCAACATTGGAATACTGGTACAACTAACTGATTAATCCCAAATAAAACGTTATATATGTTGTGGATTTTAGTACCAATCACAATTTAACTCTATTAAAACTTGTGGTTCGATGATTATATGGAGACAATCTGCTTAGGATACAGATATGTCAACAAAAACTGATAAGAACAACGGGACATTCTAAATTCCTACTAATACCTGCACACTCGGACAAGTTAGTGTTTATCTGGACTAAGTAGCTCAGTGGATAACGCGTCAGCGCTTCAAGCGAAAGGTAGTGCCTCCATTTGTCGTCATGACCATTACTTTAGATGCAGGTACATTCAGCTTCCAAGTTCTAAATGGGACAAAACAAGCGTCATGAATTCCACTGTTAGTCACTACCCAAATGAATTCATGAAATCTATTTATGTTTTGATAATATACATTAATAGCAGATCTGACATTTACTTGCCTATCTAGATGGTACAAAAAAGTAGTTCGACTAGACTTCTCGGCAGTACACACAACTATACTAGGAGTTAAACCTTTATATTTTGAAGCGAACGCGTTAGCTTGGTTTTATGAAGTCAAAACTCAGTTATTCGAATTTCTAATTTCAGTAAATTCGTAATTTAGCATGGTTATCATCCAGTGTCACTGTTGCCCTCTCAGTATTTTTGAACTCCATCAGTAATGACTTCTAAAAATCAAGGAATTCATCTAGAAGTTTAACTTGATGATCTCTGATAGAAACTCAACAGTAAACATACAGCAAATAGTCAGTAGTTAAGGATTTCTTCTGCCTCTGGGTCACTTTCTTAAACATAGATTCTTTCATGTTTCCAACATGTTTATTGTTTAATGGATCATAAAGAAATCAAATCAAATATTTGTAAACTGCCATTTCTTTTATTTCTAAGTTGTCTTAGGTAGCGGATGTTCATTGCATTATGATTGTGTGATTATTGTAAAATGGTAAGGTTATATGACCATCGTCGATAATTTCACTCTCCTCATTCTTAAACTTATAACACCATATATTGCAAATAGTCATTCACTAACCACTAGTTTACATCAACTGCATTTTTTATTCAGTTTTGGTGATTGCATCATTAATAGGGTCAACTTATTCTCATTCAATAAAGTCAACTAATTAAACAGTGATATTCTCTTTTGGTTTCATTATATAGTTCTGAGATCAGATATATTAGATAAAGCCAGTGAAGAGAATATTATTAAAGCTCAGTCAGTTGTTACTTACTGGTATGTTGTTTGTCTCATTTATTTATTTATTAACTATCTGTAATCTTTGTTTTTTTTTCATTATCACCTTAATGTAAATTGTTTGGTGATGAGTTGATCCTATTGGAGATGATTTGCTTTCATTTTGAGGTAGTAATAAGTGATTAAACGTATACTCTCAGCCAAGTATCTGACCGATTATGAATATTTGTCAAATTCTTGAAATCTATCTAGATCCCAATAACGAACGGAACATTTAAAAGTAAATTATTGTCACTGTGACTAAATATATTCTCGAATTTCAGCACTACTAACATGGTGTTGCCGTTGGATAAGAGCGATTCTTCAGAGGTTATGATGATCAAACACAGAGAGTCGTCTAAAATTCTCATTTTAGAAGGTTTAAATTTCACAAACATAGATCGAGATTATTGACACTAATTGGTTGTATACCTGGCTACACTAACATCATGACGGTTCTAAAGCTGATCCAGATCGGATCAATCTCTCTGGTTCTCAATATAGGTAGGTTGGTTTCGGTTTTCATACCACTAATAACACTTTCGCATTTACCCGAACACACGAAAGTTCCTAATATTTCTAAATGGTTTGGATTCATAAATCCAGTCATACTTAGGGACACGAATTAAAAAATGATTAATTACAATTTGGAAAACCTGTCTATCATTACAGAAAGATGACAGTTTCTGAAGTTCGTCTTGAGCAGGAACATGTTGTTATCCATGTTGTAGTAAAATTCATCAATCTGAATATAGTTCTTACGGAGCCGTTTAGACGAACAGCACATAGACACCTTTAACGGGGATCCACTCTAATAGTACTTGTTCTGCCTACACCTGCCAGTACACGAGAACTAACCATCGGGTCGTCAGACACATAGAGGGTGTATCTCGTCGGCTCTCCGTTTTGGCGACGTGAGGTCAAGTGAATTAGCACACTAGGGTCTTGTATGCGTGTTTCGGAGACACAACATACATCGGTAGTTCGAGATTCTAGAATATTAGCCTAGGAGGCCTGCTGGCCGATTTGACACAGAGTTCGTACGTTGAAGGCTCCAATATGTAATTTGGAGCAAGGTTTCAGTAGACCTTCGACAGTGTTTTGCTCACTAGGATCGTTGGCTATGGTGACACTTGAGGAGGAAGCCAAAAGAGGAAGTTTAGTGTTGAAAGTCGATTTAGGAGAAATAATAGGAATAGAAGAGGGAGCTTCAATTTTATTTATTTATTCATTTGGACACATGAATATTGGTACAAGAGAGCGCCAATATATATGCGCCACACAAAACAATGAAAATTCGAGAGGAATACAAAGAAAGAAAAAAAGCTAAGGAGCGCAACAAAAAAAAGAGAGAACAATAACGAAGAGATTGGTGTAAGGTAATGTGCTAGTAATCAGGGAACGCAAAGGTACAATCGGAAGAAATCTTTCAGGTAAGGGAAACAGAACCACTTTTTATGAAGAAAGTAAAAGAAAGTTACAACAGGATCGCCACTGGCTTCTATTCTGAGCCATATCTGATAACGTCTCTAGCCACTGTGTAGCACCATCTCTCAGACCCCAACCAGGGAGTCGTGAAGGGCCAACAGAAGCCAGCCCTTTGCAGCTTTCATACCACGACACCATGTCATGCACTGACCACCTCTCCGCTTCTTCCAACCAGTCCCAGAGTCGGCAAATAATGCACGACGTGGAATTCTCTGGGACAACATTCGGAGAACATGTCCAAGCCACCGAAGTCGGTGTTTCAAGATGGTGACACCAATTGAATTATCATCTCTGTGCCCGAACACACGATGCCGAACCTCTGCATTACTGACATGGTGTTGCCACTGAATGTCAGCAATCCTTCGGAGACAGCGATGATCGAACACAGAGAGTCGTCTAACGTCCTCAACTCGGAGAGGCCAGGTTTCACAAGCATAGAGCAAAACTGCTCTCACCGACGCGTTGTAGATCCGGCCTTTTACGGCCAGACTAACATCACGAAGGCGCCAAAGCTGGCCCAGATTGGCATAGGCCGCTCTGGCTTTCACTATACGTGCATTGATCTCATCACTCACGCTACCACCAGCACTTATGCAGCTACCCAGATACACGAACTTCTCGACTACGTCTATCTGCTCACCATCCAGGGTGAGTACAGGATTGGAATCCTGCCAGTCTTGTAGAAGTACTTTGCACTTCGAAGGTGCAAAGCACATACCATACCTACGGACACTGATTGCCAACTGATTAAGTGCGGATTGCATGCCTTGGGCATTATCGCACAGTAAGACAATATCGTCCAGTCAGTCAGTCAGTAACAACGTAGAACTTCGTACGTACGTACATCAGTTCGAGTTGCCACACCACATAAGCACAGAGATGCAGTTGTCGATTCAAATTCCATTGTGGTAGAGGTAATAAGAGTATAAGCAGTAATCGGGAAGATTAGGGTTTGGAGATGTTATTTAAAGAGTATAATCCAGTGAAATAAATTTGGAAAGAGGAAAAAAGGGACATGAAGAATTCAGAAGATTAGAATTTGGGAGAACACAGAGAGTGGATGCACCCGCGCCATTGCAAACGATTTTGAGCCATGTCATTCAGGGTCTCTAACCATCGGTTGCTATCATCTCGCGGTCCCCAACCAGGTAGTCTGCACCCACCAACATGACTCAGTCCACTTGTCAGTGACTTCATGGACTTGTGCCATGTTTTGGTCTGTCCGCCCCTAGCTTTCTTCCAACCTACTCCTACACCATGAAACATCGCACGTCTTGGCAGTCGGTGGATGGACATACGTAATACATGACCCAGCCATTTCAACTGATGAAGTTCCATTACTTCATCAATTGATTTTCCATCCTTACTTAGTACCCGTTTCCTAACAACTGTGTTACTTACTCGATGGTCCCAGGATATACGAGCAATGTGTTCGAAGCAACTATGATCAAATACTAGTAACCTACGAATATTCTCTACTCTTACCGGCCATGTTTCACTGCCATAAAGTAGGATGGAGTGAACTGCTGCGCAGTAAAGCGTCATTTGTTTGGTAGACGAATATTTCGCCTACTCCATAAATGACGCAAGTTGGCAAAAGCTAGTCGAGCCTTCTGTATCCGTGCTGAGATTTCGTCACAAACCAGACCACAATATCGTCCGCATACTCAAGGTCGAGAAGTCTTTCTCCAGGCAACAGATCCACACCACCATTACTTACATTCATCAGAGCTGTTTCTAGAATGTCATCGATGGCAAAGTTGAAGAGGAATGGTGAGATTGGGCAACCCTGCCTAACCCCACTGCTCGAATGGAACAATGGAGAAAGGTGGTTGTATGCCCTCACTCTGCCTGAGGTGTTTTTATATAGGGCTTTTAGGGTGTTAATAAACTTCTCAGGTACACCCTTCTTCAATAGACAATCCCAGAGAACAGTCCTATCCAACGAATCGAAGGCAGCCCTGATGTCAAGAAACACTACGATTGTTGGTCTTTGATAAGTATGGCGATGTTCTAACATTTGGCGGAGGGTGAAGATATGATCAATACATTCTCGACCAGAACGAAACCCAGCCTGCTCCTCGCGAGTCAATCTTTCTCGGGTTTTGAGCAATCTACGAAGTATGATGGAAGCCAATAGCTTGGACGCAATCGGAAGTAGACTTATCCCCCGATAGTTGTTGCAGGAACAACGTGAACCCTTTTTAAAGATAGGGACAACTATCGACTCATTCCATGACGTTGGCACACTCTCTAGTTCCCAAACCTTTGTAAACAACGTCGTCAATTCCTTAGTCAAAAAGTCACCACCATCTTTAAAACGAGCTGGAGGTAAGTCATCTGGGCCCGGTGATTTGTAGCGTTTCAAGAGTTGGAGTTCCTTGCGGACTTCCTCCCCGTTTGGTGGATCAGTCGTCACCGGCCATGGAGGGCAGGCCAGTCTGACCGATGTTGCCGGAGCAGCAGGCCAGTTGAACTGCCCTTCGAAAAATTCTGCCCACCGTCCAAGACGTCGATGGATGTTTGTGATTGGCATCCCATCATCCTCGCAGATTGTTTCACTCACACCAGACTTCTTGCTGCCAGTGGCTCGGATGAGTTGGAAGAGCTTCCGGTAGTTACCAGATGCAGCTGCTGCTTCCAGCTCATTAGCACGCTTCGACCACCAGGCTTCTCGCTCCTTACGCAAGCTTTGCCCAATTTCCTTACGTAACATCCTTCGTTTATGGTCAAACTCACGGTCACCCGGAGTAGACCGACGGGCTTCAATGAGTTGTAAGGAACCAGAAGAAACCCAGTGCTTAAAAGCGGGACGTTTCGCAAACCCACAACTGACTGTTCCCGCCATTTTCATGGCGTCATGCAATTGCAACCAATGCTCATCTATACTTTTCGGTGGAGTGGTAGCTAGCCTAGAGGCTAGCTCGGTTCGATACTTATTTGCAACAGAAGTTGCAACCAGCTTGCTAATATCAATCCGTTGATGGCGGTCACTTCGTTGTCCACTGAAAAGTAAGGCAAGATTGGCGCAGACCAAGGCATGGTCAGAGTCCAGATAGGTACTCCAAAAGGAGCGGCAGTCTTTTACACAACCACGCCAGCGGTAGCTGATCGCGATGTGATCAATCTGAGTCCAGGCTTGGGATGCAGAGGGAGGACGTCAGGTGGCACATCGGCGATGACTGTGCCGAAAGTTAGTGCTAGCCAGAAACAGGTTGTGGTCTGTGCACAGTTGCAGTAGACGGTCCCCGTTATCTGACCTGCGACCAACGAGTCCCCATCGGCCACCTAAACGACTCTCTTCTGTGCCTAGACGCCCGACCTGAGCATTCAAGTCTCCGGCTAGTACTACAATATCTGTCGAACACACTTTCTGGAGAAGAACAGATAACTGGTGGTAAAACTCATCCTTGATTGCATCCGGGCTGCAATCTGTCGGGGCATAGGCGGAGATGACGAAAAGACATCGTTTCTCACGCCGATTTCTTCTCACTGATGGAACTTTCTAATCTAACAGCACATAACCAACTGTTAATGGGGATCCAATCGACTAGTGCTGCCTCAGCTCTAGCGCTTAGTGCGACACCAACGCCAGCAAGACCAGACGAAGATGCCACAGGGTCCCCGGATAAGCGCACGTAAAACAAGCTTTTCGAAGCGACAGATGGAGATCGAATTTGTAGTACTTCACCAGAGTCTTGAATACGGGTCTCGGATAGACAGCAGACATCGATATTAAGACTTTCCAAAGACATAGCCAGCCCTATCTGTTGACCAACCTGCATAAGTGTGCGAACGTTGAAGGCAGCCAGTTTGGATGGCGCACGTGGTTTCAGAAAAACTGCTTCAGTACTCATATTCGATGGTAACATACAATTTTCAACCGGACAGTGACTCGAGAACGTTTAGATACAGTCGGATTTCCACCAAAGACGAGCCGCTGTATAAGTATAAAAGGGGGTGAATAATGTGGAAAATAATAATAATGATAATGACAATAATAGTAATAATAATAGTATTATTAATGACAATAATAGTAATGATAATTATTTGAATCGATTGATTGTTTTTCGGAGCGAGAAAAGTAGTTGCCATAGACATAGAGTTCATCGTTTGTGTGCGGGCTGTGATACTGCCCGGGTGCCCAAACCGAAGCAGGTAGTCATCTCAGGGGGCCACATCCCAAGCCTTTGACCCAAAGGTCTAACCCACAAGGCAGTGGAGCATCGTAAGGAGATGCAATCCCGTGGTGGCCGGACATTCGCTTTTCGTCCTCTCATTTTCGTAAACAACAGTAATGCCACGAGAAGGCAATGAGTAGGACTTCCCTGGCAGAGGCTGTATACGCGCGGCCGTGTGAGAGTATTTCGAGAGGAAGAGCGGACTCACCCCACTTTTGGCCATACCAGGGCATTCGGGGGTGGGAGATTCAATACAGTGATAGTGAGTGCTGTCAGACGTATAAGGGCGGTTATAACTTTTCGGTTATCCAAACCGTGGAAGGGTTCTTCTGGAGGTACCTGAAAAGGCCATGGGGTTATAGTTGATCTTAGTGGCATGAGAGCGTGACCGTAGTACCCAAGGGACAACTGATTGAGGTTGGTTACACACCACCTTTTTGTGGATAGTTTTCGTATTAGCTCCGTACTTGTTTAGACCTTACCACCGGAAACGGATATCCGTGGGATCAGGTGAGGTGTGCATTTTTAGGGTCGACCTTTTATAACCCCACTCCTCCTTGTGGGAAGGCAGCATCACTGTTATGTTGGTTGTCTGATGGAAACACCTTACTGCCGTCACACCTCTGTACAGTCAATAGTAGGACTTCGCCTTCGGACCTTGGGTTTACTGTTTTTGGTCTAATCGTTCTTCAACCGACCTGTCTGGCATGATAGGACCATGAGGGACGATTTTTCCAGCCAGTATAGCTCGATTGGTTCATCACGATAGGCATGTCCGATCACCAGGTCAAGGTAGCAGCAACCACCATTGAATTAACTACTTCTATGGATTCGGTGTTCATCTTGTTGTGCTAATGAGATGTGGCAACTTAGACCGATGCATATATGTGCCTGGTTCTACGTTGGAGCTGACTGACTGACTGAATACGAATATGGGTTCAGAAATGTTTTCCTGTCGTTTAATATATATTCATCTAATCTCCACAACCCTCTGTGTATATGTGTCTTGACTACCAACCTGCACATACAAGTCTCTCGATAGCATAATCTGTCTAACACGCTTTATTGAGATCATTTTGTTGATGACAGGAATGAACTTTTTCACTGGATCTGGGTTATAATCTGTCGGTCATAGGTGAGGATTTCAATAATAGTTGCATTATGCGGATGGATTCTACTATCTTAACGATAAACTACTTTTTTCCATTAAGCCTATGGGTATGGAGAGTTTAAGAATTTTTACTCAGTTGCTGATTGTAAAGTAATTGATAACATATTTAAATTTTTGAGCATATTGGTTCGTTCTGTTTTACTTTACGGCAGCGAAACATGGCCCTTAAGAGTAGAAGACACCCGTAAGTTACTAGTATTTGACCACAGATGCCTTAGAAATATTGCTGGCATCTGCTGGGATCACCGGGTAAGTAATAGTGAGGTTAGACGCAGGGTATTAGGGAATGATGGTAAATCAGTTGATGAGGTTATGAATCTTCATCGACTGAGATGGTTGGGCCACGTATTACGTATGCCTGAACACCGATTACCACGACATGCAATGCTAACCGGGGTAGGGGATGGTTGGAAGAAAGTTAGGGGCGGCCAAACCAAAACGTGGCATCAGTGCATGAAGTCACTAACTTCTAGTCTGAGCCATGTTGGTAGATGCAGACTACTTGGTTGGGGTCCGCGTGACTTTCGTAACCAATGGTTGGAGACTCTTGGTGACATGGCTCAGAATCGATCACAATGGCGTCGGTGTATACACTCCCTGTCTTTTAAACTAAGAGACTAAAATCACTTCATTCTTTCTGTCTACGAACTAATTCTTTCTTCCTATACTATATCCTTATTGCAACCTTTGACCTAACCACTCCTATGAATCCGGTGTTCATCTTGCTGTGCTAATGAGGTATGGCAACCTGGACCGATGCACATATGTGCCTGGTCCTACGTTGTAGCTGACTGACTGACTGAGATTCAGTGAATAAACCATTAAATTACACTCTCAATATTTTTTGTTCATTTCTATGTAAATAGGATGAAAAAATCACCAGCCGACAACTCAATTCAAAACAGTTCGTCTCAAAGGGATACTGACACTCAGAAAAACTTAAGACGCACTGATAGACCTGCTTCTAATTCATGCAGTGTGCCAAAGTGGCTGAAATTAAGTAAGTTTTTCGTGTTTTCAACGGATATTTACTGTTTTTAATTATGTAATGGAATTTTTATTTCGTCGAAAATCCCACTCGTAAAATTTCAAGTATACACCAATTAATTGTCGGTAGGTAGGTAGGTAGGTAGGTGGCAGATGGGTTGATGAAATTATCTAGAAGTGTTTCTGGTGTTTTATGCTCAATGTTCTTGGTTAGATTGTTAGAGTGACATGTATTTAAGAGGTGATTAATGTAACTGTATTATTCCATGTTATATTTTATCCTGCTTACTTTGCTCGAGAGTCACTTGTACTGAGTTAAATATACTAGGTCCTACAAACCTTATATTCTTATTATTCATTCTGCGAACGAAGTTCAGATTATTTATAGTGTAAATATCGTGTTATTTCAAATTTATATCTATTATCACTCCTTACAAAAGTTTATTTGCAATCTCGAACCACATAATTCTCTGAAATGGTGGAGAAGCAATAGCAACAACCCCAGAGCTCACAAAATCAACTGCGTACACAATTTGTTCAAGAGGGCGAGGACACACTGCAGCACACTGGCAGCACGAAGAAATGAAGAGAAATACCTAAAGGATGTATTTCAGAAGAACGGCCACCCCATCAACTTCATCAAAAAATACCAACCGCACGCAGCATTAGAACTCAAGTCAAGCACAAAAATCAACAAAAGGATCACTCTACCATATATACAAGGAATATCAGAAACCGTGACGAGACTGCTGAAAACCTTCGGAATAGGTGTAGCACACAAACCGACAAAATCACTACAATCAATCTTATGCAAACCAAAAGATGAAATAACAAAGGAAAACAAATCAAACATCATCTACAAAATAAATTGTGCCAACTGCGAAAAACACTACATCGGACAAAGCGGACGCCTCTTTCACCTTCGCCTACATGAACATCAATTAGCAGTCAAATGGCATGATATCTCTTCACTTATATCAATACACGTGGACAACTGCGGACACTCATTCGATTGGAAAAATGTGGGAATCTTAGACAGAGGAAACTCCAAAAACACCAGAGAATTTTTAGAAGCCTGGCACTCAGGTCAATCAGCAATCAACAAGCATATTCAAATCAATTCAATTTATCAACCAATCAGAAAAATCATGCACAAACATAAGAACAAAAATCAAAACAATGGGAGACACAACCAAAACAAAGAAGTAAACAACGACTAATTTAAGGTCAATAAGAACCAATCAACGTCGAGGTGCACATAACAAGCTTTGAGACACATATGGAGAAATTCAAACACTTCACTTCTATCTGAAGTTTGTGCTGATGATGTCGTTCAGAAGAACGTTGAAAGCTCCACGACCAAACCATCCAGCTCAGAGAACAAAACTCCACCAACATAATTCTCTGCCGGATATCTCGGGTTAAATACTGTCACTATTCTTTCCAGAGATGTTAAACTTAAGCTATTGACAATACTCAAATTGTTTCCCTTTATGACTGTTTAGTAAGCAGAGAGAAAATTGAGTTAATATTATGACTACCATGTCTTTGAACAGCTTTTGTTTTAAATCATAGCCTTTTCTGTTTATTTATCAAAAATTTGTGAATTTCATCTTTTATTCATTTCTCATTTTCATCTTTTTTTCTCACTTGTTGTTGTTGTTGTTTTTTATTAGAAAAGTGAATTCAATGAACCGCTTTATTCTGCACAAAGTACAAATGCTTTGTCTGACGTTCAATTACCCTCTTTGGAGGGTATAGGAAATTCTAGTGTTTTGCACTGTATTTTGTGAATTCCGTTTGCTTTTCTTTCCTTTGGAGAGATGTTTACAGTGTACTTTTTTATTTTGACATTATTGAAAATAAATGACTCTTAATGCATTCGACTTCTTATTGATGCCTGTTCCGGTGTTAATTAATTCACTAACCTCATCAGGCTAAATTCCAGGTATAACATTAGTTTCAGTGAGATCGTGAACCGACCAATGTTAGACCATTATGGAAAATATGGAAGCAGTGGACAACCATTTCGTCGTAGATTGGGGCTTCTCAACAGTGCTCATCCACGATTTTATTTATTTATGTGATCACAAACATTGGTACAAAGAGGCACCAAATATATATGCACCACATAGATCATTCGATTTGTGTGAGGGCTGGGATACTGTCCGGGTACCCAGACCGAAACAGGTGGTTTACTTCGGGGGCCACACCCAGAGCCTTTGACCTATAGGTTCAATCAACAAACAGTAGAGCAACGTTAAGTGCAGTTCCGTGGTAGCCGATGACCAATAATAGGTTCATATGCCACTTGTTTCCTTAGGATCCTGGAGTCAATATACGCTATTGGATTGGAGTCGGGGTTTTCCAACTCTTCTAGATGTACTCTCTGTGTGCACCGACCCGGTTAGAGCACCGGACATTCGGTTTTCTTAAAGAACAGTAATACAGCGAGGAGGCAGTGAGTGGGGGTTCCTCGGTAGTGGTGATATGCACGTTGCCATGTGAGAGCATTTGTAGAGAGATAGCTGACTCTCACCTTTCTCGACCGTACAAGGGCATTTGGGCTCATCCACGATCTCTTGCACGAGTTCAGTCATAGTAGGAAAATTCATACGGTTCCTACTCATCAGAAATTGGTTGTTGTTATTGGTTTACTAAAATAAAATATTGGGTCTGGACAAATTGGTTCTTCAACTATGAAACACAAGTGCACAGTGCTCTTTTATATAGTTTATTAGTAATAGATGATATTGGTAAGTGATAATAATGAATCACACCGTTTTATAAATAATAGAATATCAATTGTCGGTACGTATCAGACACGAAATTAAATAGTAATATACTAATTATGCGTTAATGATTGGAGATAGATTATACGAAATTCTTATTGTCAATCGTTGAGGTGCAAACCGTCGGATTAGGCAGATGCCTACTGGTATAAGTACATATCACTTTTGAAAATAGCTCCCCAACTCGAAGTATGGTAGACACTAGATTCTGATTCATTCATATCGGTTTCAGTGTTCCCTTCCACTCTAACCGAGATTGAACACACCAGAGTCAGTAAATTGAGTTTACTGTAAACAGAGAAATTTCTCGTAAATGAACATTATTTCAGGTGTATAGAGCAGCGAAAACAGCAGTTTCTAAACACAAGTCGGTTTTAGGAGAATGTCCGTTAGGAAATTTGTTTGTCAAAGGCGCTTTTGACGAGATTTGATGGCAGTTGTGTGTTTGTGCGTCCACTGTTTGTGTTCTCCCTTCATGTTTTCTCTTTCCAAATTTAATTCACTGGATTATACTCCTTGAATAACATCTTCAAATCCTAGCCTTTCCAATTACTGCTTATACACTTACTACCTCTACCACTATGGGATTTGAATAGAAAATTGCATCTCTGTGCTTATGTGGTATGGCAACTCGAACTGATGTACGTACGTACGAAGTTCTACGTTGTTACTGACTGGCTTTGTTGTGGCAAAGACAAAATGATGTCTGCTAAAGTATTCTATTATTTTATTAGAAATATTTCAAATTAGTGTACTGTAAAAGTAAAAAAAGGTTTCTTTTTAAAATGCTCAGCTGTAACCCATGGACAAATTCCATTTTGTATTCTTTGTCAATGATTCAGTAGTTTTAGTCAATTTGGAGACGTGAAAGGAAGGCTCCATAAAGACCGATCATTTCAAAGAAATACTGTAGTGAACATTAGTTGGTGTGTCTCAATTCGGCTTGATGAATTTTTCTATAGTACTGGTCTCATTCGACAAGATATAGGTTGTGTGATTTGGATGGCTTTCGATTCCGTACTATTCTAACACAAATTAGTAAATACTCTGGTACGTTGTCTTCGTAAATTGTCACTTAAGTGATGAATAATAGTTTAAAAAAGTAAAGGAGTCTTCTATAAGAAGCATCGGATGCTAAGTGCTTAGTTTGATGGATATGAAAACAGCTAATATGCTCCTAAGTCTTCTATTCGAAAAGGTTAGTCTGTAGGATTGTTTAATTTTTTAGAAATATACCTGTAAATGATGAAGCGTGTTCATGGTTCTGGAATAACCTTCTTTCTATACTATACGAGAATGGATTAAAACTGTGCCTCCCCCCATAATGGTTTAAAAAGTAAAGGAGTCTTCTATAAGAATCATTGAATGGTATGTGGCATTATTACATAGATTACTCATATTTATTCTGATAATATTGCGTCACATTATTTTTCCAGTCAATTACTTGAAGCAGTGATCAGTAGAGTTCAACCAGGTCTGTTGTGTGATAGTAACTCACTGAAGACAATAATGGATGTGCCGTTCAATTTTGTGGATTAGTTGAAGTTAGACATTAAAACCGTTGGATGTCGGCTCAGTAGTGTAGTGGTTAAGCGCTTGCAGGTGGGCGAGATCGTAGATGCACACTGCTGTGGAGTTCTACAATAGGACGAGACGGTCATCCAACGCATCTAGGTTTTTCATGATGGTCTAGCTTCAATGGACTCATGATCTGAACCTCATTGAAATTACTTCATTGTTTTGTATTTTTCTGTCATGTCAGTAATTTTTTTTTAAATTTTTCCATTTTGGGGCTAAAAAGTTTTTTTTTTTGTTGTTTGTTTCCAGACTTATTAGAATAAAAAAAAATCAATAATCAATATTCATAAATCAAAAAAAAAATTAATTTTAAAATATGAAAGTAGCATTTTTAAAACAACCAATGAATGACTCATCATCAATATTGAACAGACTGATTTTATTGATTTTTATTTTAATTTAAATCAATAATTTCAATTTTATCAACAAAGATGGATAGTGATTGATAGTGGAATCTATCAAGAGTATTTCATTCTATTTATGATTTATTCACTGAATAGATCTGGATATTAGACTTTGTTGATATTAATTCTGGAATTCGAATCTATTTATTGTTTACTTTAAATCTCTTAACGTACAAGCATTCTAAGCAAAGATAGATTCGAGTACCAGAGTGAATATCAACTCTGAGATGCATATACGTACATCTAACTGATAAGTCCCAAATAGGGTGAAACGAGATCCTACTGTTAGCCACTATTCATCTTTACTTAAAAAAGACTGTGACTTAAGGCTATATCAAGGCAATCAGCACAAGATGCATGTATATCAATAAGAGACTGTTCAATTACAGTCATGAATAACAATGAGTAGATACAAGTAAACAAATTTTTTTTAAAGTTTTTTTTTATTTATTACTTAAACTGATCAGTAATGAGTAGTTTTATAATGTAAGTTGAAAGTATTTATATCGTGAAGATTTTCAAACTGTTCAATTATCTCATTCATATACCCATTCATTATGAAAATCTTTCAGTTTTATAAATTAGAATCAATTTTGTTGTATGACATTATCTTACACTAAATAAAATTGATTATCGTACTATTGTAGTGTGTGCTACTGAAGTCAACAGATATAAGTAGTATGTACCATCAATCCAAAGTGAATTGCCTGGCAGTAAAAGGTTAAGAAGATCAAAGAAAAGAGAACGAGAACAAACAATGATGTTGATGTGGAAACAAATGAACAATAAAGTCTGAGACGATTGATTGACATTTTGCAAATGAAGTAATTGCTGTATGAATCTCAGATATTACTAACATGTTCTATAATTTTATGTTCGAATACATTCGACTTTTCCCACTTGTATTCTTGTTCAGTACACTATTCGCTATCTGAAATAGCAGTAGCAAAATTGTTGTAATTATCAACTGATTTGTACATTTTTATTAGACATAATGCCATACAAATATGAAGTTGAATAAATGCCATGCCTATGTATAAGTGTATAGTTTGATCATTGAAATATTTGTTTAGATAGAGATATTTTTTTTGAAAAGTAATCCGTACATAAGAAAAGCACAAACAATATACTGGTTTACATAACTTGTGGCCTGTATTCCCTGTTAATGTATAACTTAATGATACCGCCAATTAGAGAACAGTGAATTATCGATCGGATCAAAGACGCATAAAACCTGTGTGAAGAGTCTAGAGTCCTTATTGATCCTGCTTCCTGCCTGTTAAGTCCAAAAACAGCTATCTCAGCTTCTACGATATGAATCATGTATTACAAACATACTGAGTTTATATACCAACCGGGCAGACCACAACGTACCAACATTTGTACAAGATTTAGCCGAATGTGGCTGTGAATGTCGGAGGTAGTAATTAATAGACAGGACATAATTCAAGAATGGTAAAACGTATAATAATAGTTCATAGGTCAAAATACAGCTTATGATAAGAAGAACACGAATATGAATAGTCTAGTTATTTAACAATTATACGATAAAAATATACGCATAGTATTTGTCTATAAATGGGTCCCAAAAGTTATCATTCATTATTCGGGATATAACAATAATTCATATCAACAATGGCAATGGATAATAATAGCATAGTATTGCTAAGTGTAAACCATTGGTTATCAACTAAGTGATTTGAGGTTTAAGCGCTTATTACAAGGTCTGAATGTTCAGGATTTAACCTATGGTGGGATCATGAACTTGTACTGATAAAGAAGTATACAATAGGTTGAATTAGCTGTTTAGTATTTCTTGATTTTCAATGGTTGTCTAACTAGAATCAGTCAGCGACTTTAAAATTTCATTTCAATAAGCACTTTAACCACCTTATAATAACAAGAATATAGAGATGCAGGGAAATCATCTACATCGTGAAGAAAAAGTGAAGATAACTATTGTGTATAATAGATATTCTCTGGAAATATTTGACCCAAATATAAGAAACGTTTTAAAAACAGAATCAAAAAACGAAGTTAATCAATAATGAGATTCAGTAAATCTGTAATTCATAGATTCTACGGTAGACCAAAGTTCCATAATGAACACACCTTCACCTGGAGCACGAACTTTTTCTGAAGAATTCAACAGGATACTGGGGAATATAGCTGAAACATGTGATTACCCACTGAATTCTTTAAAGTAGCTTTTAGCCAAGATCAAGTATATGCAACTAAAAAATTATGAAACAGTGACTTTCTTTAGTGTCAAAGCTCTGTTTACCTCGATAGGAATACAATTCACCAAAGACACCGTATTGAAACTGCTCATCATAAATAAGCAGCTCTTAAAACACATAAAATATTTCAAACACAATTAGCGGAATTACGAACAGTTCAAGTGGACTCCAACAAGATTGATTGTATCAGGACTGATTGTAGATGTTGTTATGTAAATGCTGAAAGTTATAGTTTTACTAATAATCAATGCAAAATCTGTATACACATTATGTGTAGACACAATGTTACTGTTAGGGTGATCCAGGAAATTACTTGCAAAAGACAACCAAGCATCAGGAACCACTAAGAAGCGTTTCGTCCAATAAGCGTTCACTTGAAGTTTTTGCCAAAAATATCAAGGAAGCGAAACGTCACATATAGAGGTTCTAATTGGTTGGCTGCTACACTGCTACTATGTTTAGTAGCATTTCAGAATCTTCTAGCAACCCAAGGACATTTAAAATATTATAAAAATCCTGTATTTTCTGTATTATAACGAACTTTGGAGTAAACTACTCCCATACTCTGAGCCTTCTCTCTTGTTTCCAGCTTGGGGGTTACAGAATAGCTTAGGAGACGAATATAGTGTTCACTTCACAAACTTATCAGTTACTCTCAAAAGACATGAACTCAAAAATACTGTTATGAAATAACATGTTTAATGACACCAAGTTTATAAAAGAAAAAGAGTTAGGAAACAAAATCTCTCACTTAATTAGCAGAACTAACACTGAAATTCCAGAAACACAGGTATACATGAAGCTTAGTCACACAGATAAGATATTACATTTCAGTATTAATAACCCAAACAGAGCATAAAGTTAGTTGTGTACAATCACTGTTGAAAAGCAAAAGGAAATAAATTTACAAAGTAAACAGCAGAACTTGCCACATTTTTTATGCTAGACAAGGTAAAAACTTTCGTAATCTACACAAGCGCTAACGGACTCTCAGTAAAACCGTTTAACTCAATGCCGAAATTCTGGGACATGGAAACTAAAAGAAATTCGGCAATGTTCTTTAAGCATAAGATTCAGATCAAGCTACAATCGACCTGAATATTGTTATAAGCATTGGTTATCAGTCTACTTGAGAAATCGTCAGTTCAATAAATGAAGAAATATAAACTTATCGGGACAGACAATAGTAATGAAGAGATGAATAAGGTTAACTAGATTTCTCAAGATAACCAGATATAAACAAGGTCATGAGAATGGAATGTTTTAGCATTTGTAGAATCATTAAACAGATCATATCTGTTAGATGATGTATCATTCTCTGATCTGGATGGTTCGTTCGTGAAACAATTTGATATAATAATTAACAATAAAAAATGTTCGAATTTTTTCGATATTTCATGGCGATAAAGTCAAGCCATTGACAACTATACATTCTAATATATGTTCATTGATAAGCTATTATTATTTAAAATGTCTATATTGGTTGATAGGTGAATAAAACCATTCGATGAGATGCATATACACAATAGCAATTCGTATGTTTGAAATAGCTTTATGAAAATAATCCAATTTAAGATGATTTAATTCATAATGACAGTCAGCTCTTGGTTATTGTGTTTTCTCTTAGCTGGATAGCTTATTTATGAAGATTTCATTCTCCTTCTGAATAACATTATTGATAAGTCTTCTAATTTAACGCTATATTCGGTTCCTAAGCTCGTCCTAGTAACTCCCAGGTTAGATCTACACAGCCACCTGAACACGATAGAAAAGGCGTGAGATATGGAAGAAACGCTTTACTTCAAAGGTTCGTTTTTGTACAGAAAACAGGGTTTCTATAGTATTTTAAATATCCTTGGATTTCCGGAAAATTCTGGAATGCTACTAAACATGGTAGCAGTATAAGTAATCCAATTAGAAACTCGACTTGTTAACTCTGATTGAATAACATGCTTCTCAGTGTTTTCAGAGCCTTTCTTGACTTTTTTTCGATAAATTTTCTGGATCTGCCTAACAATTATCAGTATCGACTTCAGATAGAAATGATCTTGAGATGGTACAGAATATTTATAGTTCAGGTGGATCATTTTTTTGTGAAATTTCATTCTCTAAGCTGGATAGTTTGGTCAACTTGAAGTTTGTGCTGATAACTTTGTTCAGAAGAACAATGAAAACTTTACGAACGAACCATCCAGATCAGAGAACGATACATCATCAAACAGATATGATCTGTTTAATGATTCTACAAATGCTAAAACATTCCATTCTCATGACCTTGTTTATATCTGGTTATCTTAAGAAATCCCGTTAACCTTATTCATACTAGGATGAAACGGTCATCCAATGCTTCCAGATTTTCTATGGTGGTCAAGCTTTAATTGACTCATGAATTTAACTATTAAATTACTAAAATCTCCACAAAACCCTTTCTGGGAAAATTTTTCTCATGGTTTCTTCCCATACTTTTTTATAATAGAAATATAAGTTGGTTAGTATTTATTATTATTATTATTATTATTACTATTACTATTACTATTACTATTATTATTATTATTATTATTATTATTATTATTATTATTATTATTATTATTATTATTATTATTATTATTATTATTATATTATAATAATTTTTTATTCATCAATTCTGTGTAACGATTATCTCCACCTACGCATAAATTGCTAAATGTTTATTGGTTAAATAGTTTCTCGAAATTTTATTGGTTAATTTCAGGGGAGAAAAAAATATACTTAAATTGAAATAAATTGGATTTTTTTCAAGCACAAAGAAAAGTTGGTTACTATTGTTACTATTCATTTTTATTCTTTGGAAATTATTATTATATAAATAATTAAATAATTATCATTAATAATAATGATCATGGATACAAGATTATCAATCATAATGTTTAATGTGATTTATTTTGATGAAATAAATTAAAAAAGAATCTTGTTGTCAAGACTAAAATTACATGTAAGTAAAAAGAAAAGGAAATATTTTATTATGTTAATTGTTGATTATTAATTATAAGGAAAGTTTTAATGATAATAATAATAGTAAATTTGGAAAGAAATATTTTATAAAATTATTAATTGTATGTAAATTGGTTATTTATTTATTTATTTATTTGAACATATAAATATTGATACAAAGAGGCATCGAATACATATGCGCCGCATAGATCATCCGATTTGTGTAAGGGTTAGGATACTGTCCGGGTGCCCAGACCAAAGCAGGTGCTTACCTCTGGGGGCCACACCCGGAGCTTTTGACCTAGAGGTCTGATCTACAATGCAGTGGAGTAACGTCAGGAAATGTAGTCACATGCTACTGAAGCTCATGTGCGCCATTGGTTTGGAGACGGGGTTTTTAAACTTTTCTAGGTGGATCTTTCATATTCACCAACTAGGTTAAAGCGTCGGACAGTCATTTTTCGTCCTCTTAACTTCGTAAAAAACCCCTCTTTGCTGGAAGGCAGTGAATAGGACTTCCCTAGGAGTGGCTGTATACACGTCGACATTTGAGAGCATTTTGAGAGGGAGAGCTGATTCTCGTCATCCTTGGCCATAGTAGGGCATTTGTGGGCTCGTAATTTGATTATATATATGTATATAATCTAAAGCACGATGTGAATTAGTTAAGGTGTGACGGTTATGTACAAAATTTCCTTATATAGTTGTTCCTATATTGATTTTGTTTGTATATTGAAACATATCAACTTGTACTTACATATTTCCTATTATTTTTAAAAAAACAATAGCCATAATTTCAAGCCATATTATTACAATATACAGAAGTC